CAGTTATTTTTGCAATAAAAAAAAGTGTAACCTAATTTTGACCCAGCTCAAATAATATTTTAGAAAAATGGCCATTTAGGAGGGTGTGTAAGGCTAAGCTGTGAGTGTGAGGGAGACATTTTGTTACAACGGTAACTATGGGTGGGGGGGGGGGGGAATCCCATAGAAAGCGTGACGTCATTGATGGACGACCTATTTTTCTATTTACTTAGAAGTGTGTGTAAAGGGGGGGGGGGTAATAAGAATTTTTAGATAAGTTTAATTTTAGCGAATCAAAACTTATGTAGACTACTGTTAGCTTTGTGAATATAAGCTATCTATACAAAACTGTATATTATACATCCTACATTAGCAACCCAGAAAGTTATTTTCAAGATCCGGAAAGTCTTTATTTAGATGATGACGCACAACATCTAAAAATAAAAAGGGAAATCCTCGTTTATTAAAATAAAATACATGTAAAGGTGACAATGTTTGAAATCCGAAAAATGGAGAAATCCCAAAGGTTTGGAACACGTCTCATTTGTTCTAATTCTATTTTTGAACCAAGAAGTGCTATTGAAATTTCTACACTTTATTATTATCAAATGAACGAATTTCTTAATTTACACGTTTAATTTCTTGCTCGCTAAAATCTATTGTTTAAAAAAATCAGATATTTATAAACACGACAATTATTGAAAATTAGAGGCCTAAACTTTATAAGGGCTCGAACCATTTAATCTCACATTTGATTACCCAGTGCGATGATAACTACCTTGTTATTAAATATTAATAAAATGAGGCATGTAAAATTTCATGTAAGTACGTGTTAAATTCAAGGGTGTTATTAGTTTAACAACACAATAGCTATTTTGGTTATTTAATAGTGACAATGTAAGGTAGATCTATCTGAGCAGTCGGAAGAAGTTTCTTTTTAAAAAGTACAGCTCTGTCATATACATGTGTATAACACTGTCAGTATAGTGTCATTTTCAATACACACGTGCCTGTCATATAAATGTGTACAAAACTGTCAATATAAGCGTGTCTTACTGTTATATATGTGTACAAAACTGCCAATATAATGTGTGTCATCTTACTGCAATCATACATGTGTTTAAAACTGTCATACATCTGTACAACACAATCAGTCTAAGCGTGTTTGTCACACATGTGTACATCACGGTTGTCACGCTTTTGTACAAAAATGTCATACATGTGTACAACACAATCAGTCTAAGCGTGTTTGTCACACATGTGTACATCACGGTTGTCACGCTTGTGGTACAAAACTGTCATACATGTGTACAGCACTGACAATATAATTATAATGTGTGTCTTACTGTCATGCATATATACAACACCCATAATATAAGCGTGTCTTACTGTTATACGTGTATTAAATTGTCAATATATATATATATATATATATATATATATATATATATATATATATATATATATATATATATATATATATAATTCTCTTCTTGGAGACGTTAGAAAAAAAGCTGTAAGCGCGCCTTGCAGTCCCCTCTCTTCCTCTCTAGGAAGTCAGGTGAGCTGTGGTTCACGCTAAAAGTTTACAAGCGTAGAGCCGGGTTTAGTGACGGCTATTAGGGGCAGATAATTTAGTTCGAAACGATTTTAAAATTAGGGGAGGTAGCTAAGAGGAGGCTGCTTTCACGGGGAGGGGGGGGGTAGGGGAAAGGAGGGTGGGGTGTTATCGTCCTTAACGACTTACTGATAGTGTTTTAAAGCAAATATTTTCAGTGACAGCAGTGGTACTGTCGAATTCACAAATTATGAATTACTGAAAAGTAGAAAATAAAACAACTAAATAGGCTAGCGGCGTATGATACGCCGCGGGTCGTCTCGTGTGTTTTATTTGTGTGGGAAAAGATTCTGTGAGGCCTAGTCTCTCAAACTTACGTGACTGTAGAACCCATGTAAATTATGACACGCCTTTCATAAAATATCTCGCGTAAATGTTAAAGTAAAGTTTCCCTTTCAAACCTGACGGTCTATGTGGCAAGTAATGTAGAGTTCACTTGTTTCTGTGACCTCGGCCCAGGCGCCTTTACTTTCCCTAAAGTGAGTTAGGCACCCATCAGAGTTGGGTGGACTCATGGAAGGACTACTGACTTGAACCCGGATTCCAGCTCTCTACCGCTAGACCACTCCGTCCCATCGCGTAAATGTTACTAATGTTTTTAGCGCAATTTCCATTCTGGAGAATTGCGTTTATTAACTCGTCTTTTCTGGGAATGAATGGATGAATGGATGGATGGATGTGTGTCCGCAGCTTTAAGTCGTATCTCCTCCTCAACGAAGCAATATCGAGGACTAGTTCCAAAAGCAATTATGTTAAGCAAGTTACGAGGATGAACATAAGCCATAAAAATTCCGGGTTTCTTTAATGGATTTCTCGGAAAAGCCAAAAAAAACTCGAAAAAATGTCGTTTTTTGCCCATAACTCGGCAACCAGACCACTTAGCGACTTGAAACATGTACCAATCGATTCCTGTCATAATTTAGAACAATATTGCCGAAGAAAGTTTTCAAAAATATCCTTTCGTTTGGTCACAAAAAAATTTTTGAATTAATTAAAATTTGGACCGAATTAGTAGGCATTTTATGCAACCACACCACACGCGTCATCACGTTCAATAGCTGCGCCATCACGTTCAATGGCTGCCACGTCACGTTCGGTAGCTGGGCGCGCAATGGTTTTTAGTCATGTTACTCTATTGTAAATAAAACATGTAAAATACTGAAATTTTTTTTAATAAAAAACGTTTTAATAACTAACCAATGGTTTTACTAACCCTACTCTTGATTTACGCTACGACAGAGCTATTTTTAGATAACACAAGGAAATTGTGCTAAAATTGTCACTAGACTTTTTTAAATTACTTGTTTTCAGTCTTACCAAACATTGTAATAATTACAACTAAGTTTACTGCATACTTTAACCGAAACATGTATATTTAAATGATTAAATATGGACCTATGTTCTAATCTCCAACATTGTTATGTAACATAATATTATTGTACTAATATGAACAGCGTGTAGACATACACAAATTATAAATACGTTTTTTTTTAAATAAAATAAATAAATTATATTTTACTATATTTCGAAACATTTGTAAAGTTGTCCACCAATTTAAAACAGAAAGCTAGGTATTTCCTAGCACATTAGAATACTTTAACGAGTGTAAGAGGTGGAGTTTACCCCACCATATAAAAAAAATCCGATAACAATGATTTGGTAACATCAACGGGAAAAAAAACAAGACCACCGAAACTAGGTCAAGTTGATTAACTACGATATCAGTCATACTCACTTTTTATTGGTCAAAAATGTACCGCTCAAGTAAAGCAGCACTTTTTTAAATTAATCTATTCTTATGCTTGACGTGGCTTAGTGGAAATTTAATAAGGAATCTCAACATAAGTATAAAAAAAATTACAAACGAAAGTGAAAAATAGGCATTCAAAGGAACTGACAGAACACTGAGAACTGGTCAGTGGAGTGGGGGGGGGGGGAGAGGGTGGATGGAGGTTGATTGAATCTGTTTAAAAAAAAAACCGACCCGTTCTGTGGGAACTTGTTGCAAGTTTTTTTGTTCTTGAGACATGTATAGCATACACGTCGCAAGTGTAAACGCGGTGTAATGGTATTTGCTACAACTGAGCAATAATACTAGGTTAACACAACAAAAACTTAAAACCAACATAAAACGAAACAGACATAGGCCGTTTGTATAATAAAGTGATTTAGATTAGTTGGCAAGTGCCATTGTATTCATTGCAAAAAAATTCCCGAGATGCGAAACGCAAATTTAAATTTTAATGTAAAAACAAAAACCCAGGGCGGTACTAGATCTACTAACTAGAGCTAGATCTAGATTCTATATCGCCAGACCCCGTTTTAGGCAAATTTTTTTTTAAAGGCTATAATTATAATAATAAATATTAAGCCTAAGTTTAAAAAGTTTAGTATTGATCTATTAAGCAAAATAATTAAATTATCAAAACGAATTATAATCTTTAACATAATAGCAACTTGGCTTTAAAACGATTCAATAATATTAATCGTGGTCGCTTTTTCTAAAAATAGATTTCTTACAAAAATAGCTTAGGGAAATCCAAACCAACCATGAGAAGACCACGAAAGTGCTGTTTATCAAGCAGAACAAATGAGTTTGAAAGCGGGGGCTCCGTTTTATTTTATGGTCGGGGAAATTCTGCAGAGGGAAAAGGCGAGGGAAAATCTCAGGAAGCTTTACATGCTTGAAAATCGTGATCGACCTCTAGTTCCCCCTATTCATCTATTCTATCTATAACCTCTAATTTTTTCCGGAAAGTACCGGGTACATAATAATAACTCAAAAAATAAGTAGAAACTAACAATAGTAAGATAAGAAATTTCATTTCAGACACGATTTAATTGAAACTGCTATCTTCGAAAAATAAACAGTAGGCTTAAATATGGGCTATACAAAGTTTTGCGTGACTTTATCATGCATAGCTTCCAGTTTTATAGGCTATATATATATATATATATATATATATATATATATATATATATATATATATATATATATGCCTATATATAATAGAAAATAAGCTATATAGGCCCTGCTATTCGTATTTCACATTTAGCAGGTGTAACTAAATTTTAAAAATTCTTAATTCAACCATTGCAAAGTGTAGAGATCTAGGCCGATATTATAATTAAGGCTACAATAATTTTGTATTTGGAACAGTGACATATGCATACCAATTCTGCATATGGGTAAAACTATTGATTTTGTTACCTCCTTCCCCCCCCCCCCTCCCCCAATGGTGGATCAAAAAATGGTTTTCATATTAAATGAACCACTCAAATTTAATTTTTAATGACTTAATAATTCACTAAAAAACCATAGCCAACATTTTCATCCACAAGTAAAAAAACAAACAAAACAAAAGACCTTTAAAATAAAAATGACACATTTTTTAAATTAAAAAATAAAAATACTCTTTTTAATAACATCATCATTACAATATGTGACCTGTGTGAAATTTGTTTGTTAAATAGCATGAAAATGAAATGATAATGCTCTTTGGTATGAAATTTAGACTTAAGCCTCTCTATTGTTTATTCAGATATACATTGTTACATGTTCAGCACACACTTAAAGCATTTCTTTATCAATTAAAAGTTTAATATAAACTATTTAATTAAAACTATTAAAACTTGCATTGCGAGACAGCCAATTACAATAAATACTACAAAATATATTAATAAAAGAAACTAAAATATTATTTCAATAGAATAATCACACATACAATATTTATCTTAAAACAATACAATTGTTATTTTTTAATGATTGGACATTTTTTTTTCTCCACAAATGTTTTAATTATACTGAATGGACATGGGTTTAAATACCTTTATCTTATTATGCATCAATTTTTCATTTTCATATCATAAACAGTTAAAATTATACATTTACTTCATTTATAACCAACATATTTTTAATAAGGAGGAAAAGTTCATAAATCTGTATCTTTCTTAGAGTAATGTATTATTTAGATATTACATACTACATACATTATCTTGAAAACCATTACTTTTATTAGGATTCAAATAAAAGATTTGAATTTTCTTTAGTAAGAAATAATTCTTACAAATATAAGCATAAAAACAAAGATTTTGCATCTTATCAATCTATAAATTTGCAATCAATCTTTACAAATTTAAAATTCTAACATTTAAAGGCAAGCATTATCTAAATCTATAAATTTGCAATTAGCAATTTTAATTCTTACACAAGCTTGAAAGCACCACACAGTTAACTAACAGTAAATGCAATATTTAGCTGCAAAAGAGAAATTATTCTCAAGTAATAGTCAGTGTTATACTTGGGTCAGGTTTTTTACTGCATGCTTATGGTGAGCAGAAACAGCAATTTTAAAACCCAGAATTGCTCACTTGGTCATTGTTTTATTGTCTTCACTTTACATACTAATTGTGAACAGAACAAAAGCAGATCAGTCAAAAGAACAAAGCAACAACTAATTTTAACTACATTTTTAAAAAAAATGTGAATTGATTCATTTTTGCAAAGAAGTAACGAAGACAATATGGTTTATATCAGTAAAAAAATTAAATAATTTTAACTGCTGTTTCAACTTTAATAACAATAAGCCAAACTGATACAAATTTATACACACACTCAAAACAAAAGAGCTGTTGTATGCAACCATGATGAACTAGAGATCATGTTAGCCACTGCTGCCTCTCAAAAATTCTAAAGCATGTTCTTAAAACATCACACTATCAGAGTAATGACATCAGAACACTAATGCCACATCACCAGAGCCATGACATCACAAAATCAGAGCAGTGATGTCACATCAGAGCAATACTGCATCATCAGAGCAATTAAGTAAAACATTACATTAAGTAATAGTTTTTTGTCTTCAAAAATCTTTTCTTTTCTAAGAAATTTTAGTCCAGTTAATTTATGAAGGTGAAAAATGTAAACAATATTCTCCTTTTAAGCTTTCCATTAATAAACTTTTTTGTCGTTTGCTGTAAGCAAACATAAAAAAATTGGAATTTTTCTTTATGACTTTAACCCCAGCTGCATCTTTAGCCTCATCAAAGAATATAAACACTTGCCCCAAACTTTTCCTATCACACTGTAAACTTTTACCCTTGTAATTGTTGATCTGAACACTAATGTCCTTATAGCTATGCCAGATAGAAGCTGACTTGTCTTGTTTGAGATCAACAATGTTTTTTACTTTGATCTTGAGAGTTCGGTTCTTCCTCTTGGGCATTTCGACCGTAGCTTGTATGGCTGAAAACAATATTTTAAAACTATTCATTTAAAATTTCTTTTTTATTGACATGTTTTTAAATCACAACTACCAAAACAGAACTTACCATATTTTTTAGTGCATGCATACATCAAGAGACGATCAATGTTTTTCAAACTTCTGGAGTTGCACATTAAATTAATTTTAGGCTTGTTGCTTGCATTTGGAATTACCTATAAATATTGAGAAATCATTATCATAATAATATAGATTGTAAATAAAGCCCCTACTAGACAGTAAATAATCACTAATAGGAGTATCAAACAATAAATGACCCCTGAGGTGTTTGCTCAATCATTACATAATCTTATGAGGTCATTCAATCAACTAATGCATGGCCCAAAAATGTTTTTGCAGAACACAATTCTACTTGCCACTTTGGTTACAAAAATTTAAAGAAGGCAGCAAAGTATTTTATAGATACATGTAACAAGCTATGAAAAGTTAACTTTATAAATAAATTTAATAAGTTATTTATATTAAACTTTACAGGCAATGTTAGACAAACCTTGTTGTTCCTGCACTGAGAGCTGTTAGAGAAGGGAATCTTTTGTCCACAGCATTGTTTGGATCTTGAGTCAATGTAAAAAATTCCACAACATTCATGGTTGTCTTTGACTTTGTAAACATGCTCGTGACAACATATTTGACTTTCATAGTTGATGTATGAGTTTCCACAACATATAAACCCTGGCTTGTACTTGTATTTCTTTCCTTCACAATTAACAAAATCATCATCTTCTTCTTCACTTTTGTCCTCTTTTAAAGGACGTATTTCACCATCAGAACATTGGTTTTTTCTTGAGTGTATGTAATGTTCTCCACAACATTCGTATTTGTCTTTTAATTTGTAAACATTCTCGCGACAACATATTTCAAGCTCATAATCTATGTAAGAGTTACCACAACATATAAATCCTTGCTTGTACTTGTATTCCTTTTCTTCACAATTAACAAAATCATCATCTTCTTCTTCACTTTTGTCCTCTTTTAAAGGACATATTTTACCCCCACAACATTGTTTTTTTCTTGAGTCTATGTACTGTTCTCCACAACATTTGTATTTGTCTTTTAATTTGTAAACTTTCTCGTGACAACATATTTCAAGCTCATAATCTATGTAAGAGTTACCACAACATATAAATCCTGGCTCATACTTGAAAGATTTTCCATCACACACAACATCTTCTTCTGCTTCACTTTTCTTGCTTTTTGATTTACATCTTTAAAATTTAAAGATTTATAAACTTTAGTGTTTACATATATGTCCATAAGAGAATGTTTAGTGTAGTGCAGATTATCAATGTAAGTGATGAATCATTATTAATAGCAATTTGAAAAAGATGAATCCACTACAATTATAATTAAAAATATTTCTATATTTAAGAGTGAAATGGTTTGAAAATGTAAAATTGTTGGGTTTCCTTATTCTGCTGGTGTTACTATCAAATTTAATGATTGGATGGTGTTCTAAAATGACATAGTGTTTTTAAAAACTAGGATCTGAATGGCTTCTCTAACCAGATGGTTGAAAAATGGGATTGCTGCTAGAGACTTCCACTTCAGTTTTTACTTTATTTGATTAACTGTTAATTTTGAATTTGTAATTATGTTTGATTAATGTTAATTTGTACTTACATTTGATTATCACAGCAGCTTTCTCCTCTTGTAGGATCATACTGGCCATTTGGGCCACATGGTTCATTTCTAGGTCCATAGCCCTCATGTATTTTCCCATTAATACAACGTTGGCCATTGACTTTGTTGAAAGTTGCTGGAATATCCCATTCATTAAAGCAGCATTCATTGTCTTCTGAGTTGGATTTTGTAGCAGGCATAAAACCATCACAGCATAACTGTGTGTCATTTATAGGGTATCCATTACAGCATGTTTCATTGAAGTTCATTTTGTTGCTGGTGAACAAGCCTATTCAATAAAAGACATGCAGGATAAAATCAAAAGTCTGGACAAAGATTGTAGGCCTACTAGAAATAATTAAAGCTATAGCTACTAGTTAACTAAGAATGCAAAAAGTATTTGCGGTTGAAAACATAAGTCAGCACAATCTATGTCAGCCCAGAAAATTTTAAAACAACAAAAACAGCATCAATTAAAATACTAAGACTTCAATTTAAAAAAAATAAATATTGTAAGTACCTTGACAGCACTGCTCTGTGCTCTTGTTGTAGGCTTGAAAGCCACAGCAGCCAAGCCTGATATCCACGTGTACTCCCCCACACAAATATGTGTCTGGTTGTATTTTTTCTGCTTTCCCATTAATGCAATCTTCTGAAGTAATGTTGTAGTAACCTGACAAACATTTGAAAATTCCTTTTAACTTCTTTTATAGTTATAACTAATTTTATAACCTAAGACTAAACAATAAAAAAAAAAGGCACAAGTTTCTTTGATTTCTAATTTTAGTTTTGTGTTAAGAAACTGCTTAATGAATCCTATTTTTTTTTACCTTAAAAAGGGCTATAATTATGCTTAATGTGGGCTTATTTAAACTAGAAAACAACAACCCTTAAATTTATTAGACTTACTATCTCCACAGCATTTGAAATCTGAACTTTTTGGAATTGGGTGAGTTGCAAAATTTGGATGGTGGTGATTCCTACAGCAAATGTGTGTATTTGGATTCATGTACTGTGAATCACAGCAACCAAAATTTGGATTAGCCTCAAGAACATTGTATGAAGACATTTCTGGTACTGAATGTAGTACACCTGTTAAGATCACAATTGGATTGAATTTTAAAATGAAGCACTACAGTGAAAAGAAGAATATTATCTATTACCTTCACTATTTTTATGAAATTAGTAATACTTGAATCTCAATTATTTTTATGAAATTAGTAATATTTGAATTATTTGAGATTGGCTTTAAGTAGAACAATTAGAACTTCCTTTTATTGTTAAAGTAAGGGTATGAGATAAATGAAGTAACAAATGCTTCATTTGTTTTTAAGGCAATTCAAAAGGTAATAGCAATACATACCTGAACAACATCCTTGTTTCCTTATGTTATAAATTTCTTTTCCACAAAGTAATTCGTGTTTGCTTGTTATATAATGGTGCAGGTGATATTCGGAATCAATCCTAGTAAGACAATTTTCTGTTTTTGGTGTAAATACTGTTGTCCCGCAACAGTCAGTTTCTAGATTTCGTTTTCTTGGTTCTTCGCCACAACAAAATTCTTGGCGAATATCAATTAATTTATGTTTTCCACAACAAGAGAAGTAGTCTCGATCTAGCTCTGTAAAAAGGAATGTAAGCGGATAAGTAGCTGATCACAGGCTGATTAAAAGAATCAATTTAAAAGCATTAATTACTCAATATCAATAATTCATACATGCACTTCATACTAATTTTTTTTTTAAAATAGTGCTTTTCTATTGTGACTTACTTTGTTGATCTGTCAGCTCAAGGATGTCATCAGAGCAGCAGATTTCATGTTCTACATTGTATAGTTGCTTGCCACAACAGTCATGTTCCTCGCAGTTCACATCATTTGGCGAGCACTTTACTAGTGTTGCTTCATTTCTTGTGCAGTGTGATTTTCCTTCTGGACACTGAGACTTAAAATAGCGGTCCTTAATCTGTTTTCCACAGCACACTGAATCCCGTTTATTATAAAATTCACTTGTTCCATTTGCCAAAGCTAAACAAACAATGAATAAGTTATTTATTTAGTTAAATCTAGAGATCATAAATGATGAATCTGAACAATTTACATTATTATAGATTCTATATCTAGATAGTTTATTAGTTTATTCAATGACAATACTCATCATCATAGTAATAACATGTGTTATTAATTAATATAGATTTATTTTATAGTACATTTTTAGTAGTAAATTAGATCTAGACATCTAGTACCCTAAGAATAAATCATTATAATTATAATATAATATTATTAAAAAAAATTATTATATATTATATATTAATTAGGTAAAACCTTAGTTTAGCGTCGGAAATTATCGGGTAATGTTTGTTGAGTTTCGGTAACTAGAGTTATGGTAAACCATGGTTTATTTGACCATTGAAATATAAATAAATTGAAAGTCGATTGTAGTAAATTAATGTTTTAATTTTTTAAGTTTAATCGACAAAAGGAAACAAGAATAAATATAATAGTAGATTTAAATAAGTAGATCTAAAAATAAAAAAAAACCCATATATTAATATAAATATAAATAATGAAGTCAAATGTAATAATTTAATGTATTTGGCTTGTAGCGGATTTGTGACCATTAATTAATTAGATCTAGATCTAGCTAGATATCTGGCTGCTAGGCCAAGTAAAAAAAAATCTAGATTACGAAAATAGTAAAAATTATTATAAAATTAATTTTATCCAAATTTTAAACTATCTGTATAAAAATAAAAGATGACGCCAAATAAAGTATGGTTTACAGTACTTCCGGTGAATTCCGGAAGTGTGTGACAGACTTTGGCATTGTTTTACTGTTTTTTACTGCTATACGATTCCGGAATAATAACCGATGCTAAACTAAGGTTTTACCATTAATTATTTATTTCATATAGATCTAAATATTAAATTAATAATTAAATTAATAAATAGATCTAGAAATCTATCCCCAATCTATATTATATTATAGATTATATATAATAGTTTAGTTTATAGATTAATATACTATACTATACTAACTATATTAATACTAATACTATATTACTGTAATTACTACTACTTGAATTGTAAATAATAAATAAGTCTAGTTCAATCAATAAACAAAACTCACCACAACATTCAGTTCCAGTTACACGGTTATGCACCTTGTTTTTACAACACATCTGAACGCGGTTGTTGTAAAACACATAGTTATTTCCATTAGTAAAACAGATACTGTTACTGTTACCTGAGGGAAAAACGAAAAAAAAAACGAATTTGAATAAGTTCACCCTTTTCTAAACTAAACTGTATCAAATGCCACTAAATATTTAATAAAATACTGTATTTTATAGCAGTTTTTAAGAACACTTAATTATTTTTTTAAGTGAAGCCTAAAATTAAAATGAAATTGGATAAGGACAAAAACACCCTAGATATTTAGATCTAGATCTAGATCTAGTCGAATTGGGCGGGCCTATCGCTCAGACTCATAGCTTTTTGTCGTCTTATTAGAATATTTGATGTTAATTTGAAATAATTTATATAGAAATCTAGATCTACGTATAACAGAATAAAAGCTATTGCAATTCACTCAGGGACTTCTAAATAAAAGAAAATATAACAAATTCGTACTTGGAGCTGCAGCTAGAAATCCTATGTTACAACATAAAAAAATATAAATAATCCAGACAAAAGAAAATAATGGCACGATTTTCTGGCAAATCATTGTTTGATGTTGAGAGTTTTGTTGGATTTATTCCTAAGGTCTAGACTAGATCCAGTAATAGTAATAGTCTAGTATCACTCCTACTACTTGATGCCTTGTCTAATGCTGATTTATTTTGTAGTTCTTCTATAGTAAATCTATAGCGATGTTATCAGCATCGAGTTTAAATGAAAAATACATTAAAATTAACTTTGCGTTTGATATTAATAAGGAATTCAAACTTACGCTCAGTTAAAAAAAAGACTATTTTTAGAATCACGGTAGACCTAGATCTAACTATAAGGAATTCCCCTAGCCGTAAAGTATATTTATTTATAGACACATCATTCATTGGATGGAATTGTAAAAGGGGCAGTAAACAATATCGCAAGACTACCTAAAAAGATGATAGATCTAGTCTATACGTCTATATTTTGTTTTAAGTGTGTTTTAAAATGTATTTACTAAATAGATCTATATCGCTACATTTAAAAAAAGAATATTAAGAGAGTTGGTTGGTGGTGTTAGTGTGGGTGGTTGTTATTGTTAAGGACAAAAAAAAAAAAAAAAAAACTAATTGACTGCGTTCGATTTGAGAAATCATCAAATCATTCGTGTCTGTTTTAAAAAAAAATTAACTTGTAATCTTTTACTTAGGTCACATTGTATGTCTGTCTGTAAGTTTGTGTGTGTCTGTAAGTTTGTGGTTAAAGCGTCAAACTCACTTTTGAAACACTTCTGGTGCACCGATTTTGTTTATCATATCTCTATTCCCCCCCCCCCCCATCTTCACACTTAGTCACAAAAGAAAAACTATACCGCTCACTCTTCCAAGTTAACGTCTCTCAGCCTACAACGCCTCAAAAGTTGCAATTTTTAAATCGTTTAAAATATAATTTATTTTTACAATATTTACTGATCAATTTTTATTGCAATTTAAAAAAAAAAAACGTTTTTTAAAAACCTCAAAATTTACAATTTCTTACTCTTTCTGACCCCTCCTCTCGACGCATCCCGTCATTACACATTATCACAAAATTCCAACCCACACCTTGCCCCTAAGATTTGACTTCGTGTACGGACGACCCCTTACAGAATTTTCCCCACTGCAGATAATTAAACAGTTGTTTGAAGTTTATTTACTTGCTGCAACGTAAAGCAAACGGAATGAAAAGAATAAATGTAGTAATAATTTTTTAATAACTATATATTTGTCTTCCTAACAAATATAAATTAATTTCATCTGACTATTTAACAAAAAAGTAAAAAGAACTTATCAGTAGCTTTATAAGATAATCTGTTAGTTTTAAATGGCCAGATATTTTTTTAAAAAAGGAAATTTGTAAGGTAGGCAACTCAATTAACAATTTTGGCAAAATAGCATAGCATTATTATATCCCCTTGTGTACAGGAAGCTTCAATGGCTACTGTAAATTGTAAAGTATAAACATTTAAAAGAAAATGAACCAATATTGAAGCTTCCCGAGGGAATGGCAAAACATCACGTACGATAATTACACTAGATCTAGATCTATATAGAATATTGACAAAAAAACAATAGAATTTTTGAAAGACAAACTTTGTTTTTATTATAATTGAATATTTCTGAGAATAATTAAAGGTAATAAATCACAGGCGTAGTGTTCTAAATATGCTACTAGATAGAGCTGGTGCTATCCGTGCCAGAATTTCTTTCAGACGACGATTCTGAAGGGGTGAATGCAATGAGCACGCCCCCATCCCTCCCCGGAACACGTACGAGTTTCCGCCCGTCCTGTCGCTTGACATGCCTCTCCCCCCACCTACACAGAGTAAAATGCCTGAATGAAACACTGATACCCGCACACACTACACACATCAACACCTTCACACACACATACATTAATCTCGTCTATGATCTACTGAAAATATGAATGCATGTAAACATAGCTCGCAAATTATATTTTGTTTAATAGAAACAACGAAATAAAGAGACAAAATTACAACAAAATACATATTCAGATATTCTATTATGGACCTATATAGTTTGTCAGAAATATTTGGTCTTTAAAAACCGCTGACATGACGATACATTATAGTTATAGTATAGAATTTTTTTCAGACGGTACTCTCGAAATGTAGGAGGTGGGCCGGGAGAGGGTAGAACTGAAATTAAAAGTTTACTAAATTTTTATAAAGGGACTTAACTAAAGCCGTAATAAAATCAAAATAGTAATTACTAAGTTGTATATCTTTGACCATATCTAAAGAAAGGGAAAAAAACTTTCAATCGATTCTCTTGCATAATTAAATTAGTTCCGAAAATTGAATTGCTTTTTATAACAAATCTATAACAAATTACATAAAATAATTTTCACAATGTTTTTTAAATTTTGCCTTAAAACTTCCAAAATTATAAACGAAAGTAATTAGAAATCTAGATTTCAACTACAAGACTACTTGACTTGTGTGTGGCGTTTGGGTCTTGAGTCGAAATTGAGATCTATTTTCTATTTGCGATTTGTTTTGGTAATTAGACGTAACCAAACCATAATAAATAGATTTACTCATCTCGATCTAAACAACTGGTTGTGCAGAAGATACAAAAGAAGATACAAAATGGACCACAAATCAGGTTCTAGTGCTAAAATTTTAGTTTTATCTGTCTTTTTAATACTTTAAGTTTAAGACATAAATTATAAAAATTAAGAAGGCCACTAGAGATCTAGATCTAGCTAGCTACGCTAGTCTAGGCCAGTCTAGTAGTAGGGCCTAGGGTAAAACTAGGCTTTTTGATGAGAATTACAGAATGATTTTTTTATTAAAAATGTATCAATAATAGCTTGCACACTAGTAAACTAAGCCAATTTAGCATATTTTAACTTTCTGTGCAAAGTCATTATATTACTGAAAAAAATTCCAAAGTCAGGTCAGCCTGTGGCACCCTCCACTGAACTTGACAGAAGGAAAAAAAAACTTGACCCGTGACCTTCATTAAAACAGAATTTGCTTTTGTTTTTTTTTTCATTTTTAGTAAACATGTGCTTAATCTTACCCAATAAGTGATAAAAATTTGAAAATTAATTTTAATTACTGTTGTAAAGTGAGATAAACAGATTAATAAACACGTGTTTTCTTGAGGGGGTGTGGCACATCCCGACATCGCATTGTTTGTAACTTTATATTTGTGTTTTATGACTATATTTGTTCACAATCAGCATGCTATGCTTTTAATTTTGATAAAGGGTAAGTATATCAGGATGATTATAGATACCAGTGTCCGATAATGGAATCATCTTTAAAATAGGGGTGTTGGGTTGTTAGTAGTATTGTAATCTCGACTAATTTTATGGTTAGAAATTAGGGTTAGGCGTATGGTTGGACCAGGGTTGGGGTTAGGGTTAGGGACAGGGTTAGCATTGACATTAGCCAGCCATTTGTGTATTTAGTTAACTACCAGTAACCTAACACCCCTTTTTTAAAGAAGATTCCATTATCAGACACCGGTGTAAACATTCTCCCGTATATCAAGTTACAAAACCTGAAATCTAACTAATAATTCATACTTTCAGTTTAAAAAAATAATGAAAACGATCATCAATGAAGAAAGCGTAAACATTCTATTTTTAGGTGTGACATAAAAAACAGTCATAAATCTAGCCGAATGATTGGATTCTTGCGCGTCACACATTTTCCCGCGCTTCGTGTTCACCAAAAAAGATTATAATAAAATGGCATTATTATTCTTACAGAGCATATCTCATGCCTACAATAAATTATTACCAGTTTATTGTAACGTGTGTAAAATTAATGCTTTCAAGTAAAAGATAGCAATAGTCTGGTTAAAAATAGCTGAGGTATTTTATAGTTATTTGATTCGAAAGATAAGAATTATATAGAGCTACTTTCACTAAGGCGCCGCTTGCGAGACAAACAAAGGAATTAGGCCAAAAGTAGATCCGACAATTCTTAAATAACAGACTTAAATAGAAACGGATAGTTCCGATTTCTTAAATTAACGATGGCTTCGTAATCATTAGTTTTATCGCTCTACCCATTAGTGAAAGCGAAACTGGTCGCCATTTTTGGTAAGCGCATGAGCCGTGCGATGGCGTCAAAACAACAAACCCGGAAGCTGTGAAACGAACGGCCTAGGTAAAACTAAACGAAGTGACTACTCGGAAGAAGATTTTTCTCCCCAACGTCTCCACTTAGTCGGCAAAAGATAGCTATGCGCAGTGACCTATGGCTAGGGTTAGGGCTAGAATGAGGGTTAAGGGTAGGATGAGGGTTAGGGGTAGGATTAGGGTTAGGGACAGGGTTAGGGATAGGATTAGGGATAGGGATAGGATTAGGGTTGGTGTTAGGGTTCTGCGGTTGTAAACATACGCATGCGCAGTACCATCGAAAACATCGCTGCGAAGGCAAGTTGTAGTTTCTCTCCATTGCGCATGCATATCGCATGCGTATCTTATTCCGGCTAGCATCGGCCAAAACTAAAACAACTCTAAAATCTAAAACTCCAATTTTATTTAAATTTTCATTTGACATTTAGATCTAGTGCGTATTCGCCACTTCATCACATGTTCACTTCCGGTTGAGCTTAAGTTATTATTAAATTTAAATTATTTTAGGTAATCTATCGTTTTGGGTACGTAAAATCGCCCGCGATTTGTAATGTGAAAAACAGGTGGCTCCTTAAATTTTAATAATTATTTCACATTTTGAGGAGGATTTATGTTTTAAAAAATTCAAAAATGTTTCCTTGATTCATTTAGTATTAGATCTAGATCTAGATTTACTAATTTTTTTTATGAGTGTGAGTAGGCCTTAGTATTAGCCTATTAGAAAAGGAAAAAAAAACATTTAAAAAGCGTTAGGATTAGGACAGTTCCAATTAAATAGCGTGTGATCGCCAGGGGGAGAAAAATCCCTAGGGAGAATTTTTACACCGGTGTCCGATAATGGAATCTTCTTTAAAAAGCGGTGTTAGGCTACTGGTAGTTAACTAAATAATAATACACCCATGGCTGGCTAATGTCAATGCTAACCCTAACCCAAACCCTGGTCCTACCATACGCCTAACCCTAATTTCTAACCAGGAAATTAGTCGAGATTACAATACTACAAACAACCCAACACACCTATTTTATGGAAAAGTCTATTATCAGACACAGGTATCTAAAATCATCCAATCCCTACATTCATTGTGAGTTCACATTGACTTTAATTAGATCTATCAGCATACGTCATAGCTTGGGCAATTGCTGCTTAAAATTGTGGTGGCCTCAGTTTTAGGGTCATTGTGAGTTCATATATGTTTATTTATAGTATCATGCATGCAAGATACTATAATACTTGTAACAATACAAACTTAACCCCCTTGCAATTGTGAGTTTCGTACTTCACCCATTGCCAAGAATATCTTAACTCACACATGAACATAGCACATTCAATATTCCAAATTTGGATTTTTCTCAAGTTTTGACAAAAGTAAATTATCAAAAACTAAAACAAAACTTTATAGGCCTAAATAAATAAGCCCAATGTTTTCCTAACGTTTTTGTGTGTTTCGGTTGTGTTTATAATAAAATACGCTCAACTGGAGGTGAACATGAAGTGGGGAATAAAATACGCTAAAATGGAGTTTTACCAGCCACTAGAATGACTAGATGCACGTTAGTTAGTGACTAACCATAATAGTTTGGTGACCGCCCAGGTGTCAGGGACGTAGAGGGGTGCTCTCGGGAGCCACAGATTACACTACCACAGGGGCGCCTTGTACTGCCCCTGGCTCTTTAAAACTAACGTAAGCGCCATAGTGCTCACAGGATAACCTAGGGCACCAAATAGCACCCTGTCTGCGAACATGCCTGATTCAATTTGGTGAATTACTATAACAACCCATCTTATACATAGTCCATTGCACTGTTTGAAAAAAACTTAAGCGCCATAGTGCTCACGGGATAGCCCGGAAACCAAATTGCGCTCTGCTGGTGCTCTGACGAACGCTCCTGATTTCTTTTAGTGAGCCCCATCTAATCCATTGTCTATTGCACTGTTTAGAACGAACATAGGCGCCATTGAACACACGTGAAAGCCCAGGGTGCCAAATCAAAATCTACAGGGGTGCAGGGGGACGTGCCTGGTTCAATATAGTCAACGATTATATTTTACATAGAGAAAAATCACACACACCAGGGGCGGCAGCTTGGCGAAATTTAAAAAAAAAATTTTTTTGCTGAACCCTTCCCTGGGGTGTTATAATCATTTCCCCAAAGTTCCTTCAATATATAGAAGAATCGAATTGCGCCCTGCCAGGGCGCCACCCCTGCGAATTTGAGATTTATTTTTTCGCAGAAACCTCCCCAGGAGTATTCTCAACAACTTCCGATAGTTTCATGGTGATCGAGTGAAAGGTGTAGTAATGCATAAAAGGCAGACACACACACATACAGTACTTTTTATATATATAGATAGATATAGATCTAATATATAACTAGTAGTAGATCTACTACGAGTCTAAATCTAGTACAGTAAACTTCCTGAGTAACTAAACACAAAACAGTAACTTTCTAGATCTACGACTAAGATCTAGATCTGAATTCTAGATCTAGTTAAAGTTAAGTACTGAGTAGATCTACTAGATCTAATATAAGTCTACTTAGTCTACTAAGTACTACTACTACTGTCTACTACTCCTCTACATTTGTTTCACATCTAGAATCTAGATTCATATATTAAGTTATATCTAACAATAAAAGTTCATACTAACAAACTTTCTTATTTTGAAAATTTTAACCTGAATTTAGATCTAGATCTAATTTTAAACATGAAGTTAAAAAGTTTTGTAGTTAGATCTAGATCTAGTTGTTAATACTTAGATTCTTGATCTAGTCTAGTAACTTCTTTATTCTAGTAAGACGGACATTTTTCGTATTATTAGTATAATAAGTATCTAGCTAGTTGTGTGTGTAAGTGTAGGCCTACGATACCTATCATTATTTTGTATAAAATGGACAGGCCTATCAACTTGTCTTAAATTCATAAATAACAATGTAGCCTACAGCCCTATCAATAGTTATAAACAGGCCCCTCTTTCTTATAATTGTTTGATCTAGTTTCTTAAAACTTTGATACAGAAAATGCTTTGGGTATTTCCTGGCATGACACTGCCTGGATCCCTCACCTCAGTCAGGCTAACATATTGGACTACTTCGCAGAGAGATCTAACCCTTTCTATGACAGAACCTGCAATAATGAACATATTAAAATGCAACGGCTTAGTCCAGACCAAATGTTGTAAGTATTGACTGCATTATTTAATTTTTAAAAAGGAAAAAGTCGTTAAAAAAAAAAGCTTATTTAAGCTTCATTGTCATGATAAAGCCAAGTCCTGTTATTAATGGCCTAACATCTTGATTCTTTATTTACCAATAGAAATATGACAGGGTGTGAATATTCCCTTCTACATGCCCAAGAACCTATTTTGTATGTTATACGCAAACAACATCGTCACTCTCCAACACAAGGTATATTTATGAGACAACTTTATGCTTTATGCCTTTTATTTTTTTTGTCAAAGTGTGAAATAACAAAATACAACTTTATATTTGCTGATACTTTGAGAATGAATGTTAGTCAAATTGTAATTCCGCTCACAAATTTTCCATAGTCACCCCCCTTGCTGATTATTACATCATTGCTGGCACAGTGTACCAAGGCCCAGATTTGTGTTCTGTTGTAAACTCCAGATTGGTGAGTTCATTGTGTTTACCTGCCATAAACATTTCTTCAAAAGCATATTTCTATCCAAGAAATAGGTAACTTACATGCTGGCTTAAAGCTGGAACATATTACCCAGTTAACTAATCAAACAAGTTCCATTTATTATCTATTTGTTTTATTAGTTTTAAATCTATGGCCTATTCCATTTATGTCTCTATTGGTTTTAAATCCGTGGTTCTTAACTTGGGTTCCATTGAACCCTAGGAGTTTGACGAGTCAGTCTCAGGGGTTCGGCAGAGGTCAAGACACACACCCAATTCGTATGATTAGTGATCACATTTTGTCAGTGTGGATGATAGAACTAGTGACAGCAGCCGATGACAGTTCAAAAACAAATAATGTGATATTTCTATATTGTGGAACCCTTGGTGTCACTGCCACCTATACAGGTGCATGTTGGTTGTGTATGTGCTTTGACGAACATACATTTTATTTCTATATCGTGGTGCAGTAGTTGACTTATAATTGTCATTTCTTTCTTAATATTTTAATTCCTTCATAATAACTACATACTAAAAAAGAATATGTATAATATTGATTCACATGTATTATGGAATTTGTTGGGAGGCAGCGTTCTAATTTCAGTATTTGAAATGCAGAGTTGAACAATTCTAGCCTAGCACCGGAAAAACTATATAGAACACTTTCTTAAGCTGAAACGAGATGGAAAATACAAGAACTAATACTAGATCTAGATGAAGTCTAGGTTTTTAATAAAACTCAGTGAAAGAATGAATGTCACAATTCAATTTAATTCCAACTTGCATTTGTACAGATTAACTTATAATATTTTTTTGTGTGTAGATTAATTGTTACATTTTATAAATAGTTGAAATTTAAAGTCAGTTGTACAAAAAAAAAAGTTTTCTCTGATGCTCTGTGATTCTTTCAAAATCTTTTACTAATACAACAGACTGACAGATGGGGAGCATTAAGCAATGAGCAACAATAGTGTTGACTCTCTAAAATTACAAGGGGAAATGTGTGATCTTTTAAAAAATAACCTCTACTGAATAAGGGGGGAAACTTTTAGCTTGGTTTTTTAATGTTTTGTTATGTAGTTATAGTTGTAACTCTGGTGCTATACATTCTAGATTATATTTGGTATTTTTTTTTCATCATTTACAGCTTAATACTCTTCACAACTTGCAGTCAGCTTTTGATGAGGGTAGGCTCTATTTTCAAATTACATTTAACATTATTAATTTTCTTAACTTTATCTTAAAGATACAAAGAACCAATATTGAAATAATTTGTATTCAATAGCTTTAGGTTATGCAAGATTTCACCCATCAAAAGGATATTCTTGGGAGTTCAAAGAAAAGGAAGAGAAAGGTATATTGTAATGTATAAAAATCATGCAATTAATATTATTATCACCGTACAACTTTGTAGCTTGAATTATTTTTTAGCACTTGACTAAAGTTTGATATTTTATTTATCCAACATAAAGATGTTTATGTAATGTTTTATAGTTATCTAACATAAAGGTGTTTGTATAATGTTTTAAGTTGTCCAATATACTTTCTCTGTATCTTAGAACCAGCAACCAAAGAGAAAAAGTTGAAAAAGAAAGAAGAAGCAAGTTCAGCCTTTCAGAGGAAACGTGTGGATCTGTTGCTGGGAGAGTTAGCTAAAAAACACCCCCCACTTTTTATGCCCCCTCCACCACAGCCCCCAGCTAAAGGTAAAGGGAACCTAACATTTTTTTCTCTCTTAAAAACCGGAAACCATTTTCTCAGCCTTTAACTTTAAAAATATTTTCTTTATTTATTCAATTGTTTTACCAAATCAAAATTTTTATTAGTATATCATTTTAAGTTGTCTTAATTTCTAGCAGTCTTTCTGGGTAGATTTCTTTTTTTTTTTTGTAAAAGTATTTGCAAAACAATATTTTTAAACACTGCAGGTCGGCATTCAGCAGCCAAATTTAAACAATTTAAAATATCTTATACTTCTTTCAATTTTAATTTTCCTATTGAGATGTATTTTTCAAACGGAGAAAAGTTGTTCATTTATTTATTTACAGTTAATTACACTTTCTTTCTTTAGTAAGTTAGGGGTCGTCAATAAATGACGTCACACTCTTAGGGGGAGGGGGATCCGTAATTTTGTGACGGTATGTGATGAGGGGGAGGGGTTGGTGTTCAGATAGTGTGACGTCACTTTTGAGTTATAAAAAAGAAATGTTAGAAAACGAGTTTTAGCCGTTATTTAGCGTTTTAGAAAACTGTTTTAATAAATTGTAATAGGAATTGATTAAAATACTCTATGTTGACAGAGTTTTTAGAAAAATATGGATGTTTTAAGAGAAATTCAACTGCAATTTTGAGGGGTGTTGTAGGCTGAGGTGTGACGTATTTTAGGGGGGAGGGTGTGGCTTTTTGTGACGGATGTGTGATGGAGGGGAAGTAAAAAAATCATCAAAAAAGCGTGACGTCATTTACGGATGACCCCTTAATCATTATTGCTCTATTACCTTATTTCTTGAGAAAGAACTGTGTTGGAAAAAATGAAACAAAAATCAGCCCCTCTGTTTCTATTAATTGAAAATAAGTGAACTAAAACCTTAAGCAGATTTAGGAAAGAAATTGTTTACCAGCTGGTGTGGAATTATTATTAGAAATGTTGTGAGGGGTTGCAGTTTGCTTCAGTATTTAATCAGTAGCTACTAATCCATTAATTTAGATTAACCACATTTTCTGTTTAGTTCCTCACGTTGAAGAGGTTAAAGCAGAAGTGAAAACAGAGAAACAAGAAGAAAAGTCAACATTGAATGGCTCAATGCGTCCCCCTCCAGAAAAAAGACAAAAATTAAGATAGTCTCACTGGAAAATTATATGTAAATAGTTTATACATGTAAAATATTTGCTCTTAATTTTGCTTTTCTAAGTGTATTTATACATGTTAATTTACTTTATTAAAGATCTTTGCTTGGTATTAGCAAGAATTAGTTGTTTTTTTTTCTTTGTTTTTGCCTTGTAATATTTACTTATTTATTTTAAAAAAATCCCCTTGTTGCACTACTACTTCAAAATCGAATTGAAAGGATTTAAGATAAATATATCTTGTGGAAACATGGTTGAAACTTTGTTCTCTCAAATGTTATGCCAATTTAGATTCAATATTAAATTTGATATTGTTGAAAAGAAATCACATAAAACAATTGTGTATTAATAATCATGAGATTTTAATAAAATATAATAACAAAGCTGAACAAATTTTCATTATCATGAAAGTGAACAACTAAAAATGTGATCTTATGTGTGTGACATGAAGCAACTCAGCAGATTGTACCACTCAAGTAATAAATAAATGAATAAATTTTAAAATCCACACATAAGTTATCCATTGGAAGTGAACAATGAAAGTCATTCAAGTAGGAGCAATGTCAATTGGTATGATGTGCACATGATTTAAAGTGTATTCAGCTTTGTTGTGATGATGACACGCAGAGTCTGGTCAAAGGATGTACAGACTGATAAACCCATTTTGTCTGGGCTCCAGTCAAAGCTGCTGACTGGCTGAGTAGATAGAGTAACATTCTGTAACAAATCAACTGTTCCTGCCACACCCACTTCATGGCCTTCCGTGTCCTTCCTTGATCGTGATGATGGATAGGAGCTAGAGTTGAAAACAAATTTTTTAGTTATGGATGGGGTAGAAGCTAAAGATGAAAATGTTTTTAGGATTTTTAGTTACCATGGGTAGGAGCTAGGAATGAAAATAAATAATTTTTAGTCAATGCAAACATTTAAGACTAAAACAACGCAGCTTATTAATTTTTCTTTAAAATTTTAATCAAGCTTACTTTATTAATTGAATATGTGTTTATAAAGTTTAATCACAGAAAGCAGTCATGTAGCCTAAACTCAGCCTTAACTTAGAAATGAAACATTGGAAAAGTAAACATCTATTAGTATATGTAAATAATGCTCTTACTATTTCCATAAATTTAAAGATCCATTACCACCCAATGTCATGAACACGTCTCTGTTCTGTGGTAAGTGTCTGGCCAGCCATACAGTAGACTTGTGTGCCTGTTAATACAAATTTGAATAAATACAACATGAATGCACTTTACTGTTACAAAATATGATCATAGAGCTAAATTCATATTCAAAGAACTGACTAATGGTATAAAATGTTTGCTTCTCATACTTTTTCATTTTAGACACCCCAAACTGTTATCATGCCTAAACGGTTATGTTTTGCCTTCTCTTAAATTTGAAACCACTGCCAGCATAAATAAGTATTTTTTCTTGTTTCAGTTTCTGGTCTAGAGTTTATCCTACAGCTAGTTAAAATTAGAACTAGATTATCTGGTAGTTTTCGTTTGCACATCTCCCCAACTCTACCCATCAAATATCAAGGCAGGAGGGAGTCTTAAGTGCTACATTGATTGCGATGAACAGTTTCTCAATTAAATCTAAAACTCTAATTTTTTAAACTGAAAGCTCAAGTCATAAAAACAAACTACATAGTTGTTTATAAAATTATCACAAAACAACAAATAAGATATATTAAGTTGTGATATTTTAAAATATTTTCTATATTTAAATAAATCCAAGTATGAAAATGTAGCCAATAAATGTTGTGATAGTATGAAATTGACCTAGTAACATTGTGTATATAAACAAAACATGTGACAAGCATTTATCTGTAAAATGTTATGGACAGACACTGAAGCTTTTTGGGGTAAGCAACCCTGTATTCAGGATTTCATTCGGTGGTTCCATCTAAAATGTTGAGATAGCTTAATTACATATATCAACTAGATTATTAATGCATATCTTATTAGTTGCAGTTAATGGACTGATTTGAAATGAAAATTTTCTAAATACAGTTGACAAATGAATTATACCTTTTCAGTAAGACTAGCAAAGCCTTTGGATGGGTGCTGTGTCCTCATATCAAAAACATGAAACTTGGACTCCAAGGTGGTAGCTACAAGTTTATTCATTGGAATATCTTTTCTATCAAATTCTAAGCAACAAACCTGAAAGAGGAAAAGTACATTTAATTTTTTTACAGGTCATAAAAATGTGCAGGGGTGCCACTCATTTTTTAAGTGAATCCTGAAAATGAATCCCAAAATTTTACCAATCCTGAAACTAAAATTTGAAATTTTTGAAACCCTGAAACTTAATTTCGCGCGGAATTTCAAAATAAAATGGACTGTTATTTCATTATTTTTTGAGACATTTGATTCATATATTATGTTCAATTTACATGTCTTTAAAATGGATTTATTTTCTTTGTAACAAGCTTCAAATAAAAATTAATCTTTAAAGGATTGTGCTTACAACAAAATTAGTTTACAATGTTACTCCCATCTCTAGGCCTACCCCATAATGTGCTATTGTAGAACTCCCCCCCCCCCCCCCCAGCCAGCTTTTATAACATAACTATTTGATTTTTTAGAACTTCCTAGCTTGAGTTAAAGTGTGTAGTCAGCCAACTGTTAAGTAACAAATATTTTGCTAACCTCTAGTCTTGTTATTGAATAATAAGCCCACTATATGCAGACCCCTAATAAGATTTCCACTGTATTAAAATACAGGGTTGACTTACTGTAGCTATTCAAGGCTTTAATTATTAACAGCCACAACAAAAACCTTAAACCCTGTTTTCCCAATCAACACCAATGGGGTCATCCATAAATGATGTCACGCTTTTTTGACGATTTTTACCTCCCACTTCCCCTCGGTCACATATCGTCACAAAAAGCCAGACCCCGCCCTCTAAAATGACGTCACACCTCAACCTACACCCCCCCCCCCCTAAAAATTGCAGTCGAATTTTTCTTAAAATACGATATTTTTCCAAAAATCTTGTCTGATCTCTGTCAACATAGAGTATTTTAATCAATTCCTATTACACTTATTGAAACAATATTCTAAAACGCGAAATAACGGCTAAAATTAGTTTTCTAACATAGCTTTTCGATAATGCAAAAGTGTGATGTCACACCATCTGAACCCCTCCCCCTCATGACAAAATTACGGACCCCCCTCCCCCTGCGAGTGTGACGTCATTTATGAACGACCCCAATGCCCCCACCTTTGATATACATGATGACGTGAAGAAATATTGTGGAAGTTTTAAGTTCATAAGAATTAAGTTAATTTTAAAAATAATTTTAGAAGTAACTACGCTAGTAATACTCATGTCAGAGATGTAGCCGCCCGACTAAGTGAAAAGCGGATTTTTTTTTACAAGCGGTTGGGAGGGGGCAGTGATAGCGGCTATTTTCAAGGTTGTTTAAACATTTCAATGACGTTTTACCAAAGTAAAAAAAAAAAAAAAAATTAGATGTAGACCCTGCTAGATCGTGTAACTAAATTATAGCGGGCCTACATATTTTTTTTACTGATATAAAACGATGCAGATCTATTTTTTTTTCTTGAATTAAAAATAACCACGTTAAAATTAAACAGCGCTTGTACTTGTAGAACTGCCTTGACCGAGAGACACGACTCAGACTGTGTTCACGTGGTCTCGTGACGTAGGTCTTACGGTCAGCGCGACCTTGAAGAAGCGGGTACGAGGTGGTAAAAAGTGACGGTAAAGTTGAGTGAAAACAGCACAGTTCTATTTCATACATAAAATAGTCCTCCAAATAAATTTTTTCTTTTCTTTTTGTAATACCAAATACCAAAAAAAAAAAATTATCGGAGCAAAATCTTTGTTTTTTTTAAAAGACGATCGGCGATGCTAGTGAGCTAGATCTAGTAATTGTAGAATTTAGTTGTTTTATTACACAGCCTAGCGGTATCCCATTGATGACATCACGTAAATAATACGAGTTTTACCCCCAACCCATATCGTCATAAAAAATAGCCAAACAGCCACACCACGAATGACATCAAAAAGTTCCGTCTAGGCCTACAGCCTCACCCATCTGATACAGCTGATTTTTATTTGGTCCTTGGCGCACGCGTGAGATTGTTGCTGACGTCATTTATTATTCATTTTTTTTCGGAAAAGGCTATTAGCGGGAGTGTTGATGATAAAAACAATTTTTACAATGCCAAAATTTTCAAGCTTAAAACGATCTAAATTTTTTTTAAAACTGCAAACCCGGAAATTTTCAAACTCGAATCTTGCGAATCCGGAAAGGGAAAAAAATATGATTCTCGAATCCGGAAATCCGGGATATCCCGGAAAAGTGGCACCCCTGAATGTGTTTGAAGTATAATTTATAGAAGGACTAAATAAGAATGTACTAACCCCGTTCTTAACATTTGTTTCCCATCTTAGAGCCATATTTCTTAGATCAAACAGTTTAACATCTCCATTGTCGTATCCACTTACAACACATCGGTCTTGAGCACTATAAGAATCTCCTATAATATTTTCAAAAACTATTATTTTTATTTGCCAGTTAAAAAAACAATTAATGAAAAATTAAGTTAAAGTTTTTTTTTTTTGCATTGATAAATAAATTTGACAGGAAGGATGCGTAAAAAAATATTATTGTGTCTGAAATCAATGGTTTAAGTATAATATACATCTCATAAAATGTAATCAATTGCTTGATATTTGTAAAATCTAGCCTGCTAGATATTATTTTAACAGTCTTTAGTTATTGCTTTTGGTCAAAAACTAATCCAATAAAAAGCAAAAGAAATATGTGATGCATCCAAAATGTGAATACAATATTCTATGAAATGTGGAGATTTAAATTATCTGTGACAAAATAACTTTTACTTTATATCCAAATTATTTGTGGTTATTTTATCACTTTCAATCTGTAGATGTAAAAAAGGAGTTTCTCGTGAATTAAAATAACTCAAACAAAACTTTATATCTGCCATTGATTTCTGTTTAGCATACTTTGGCTGCCACCCTAGACTACAATCTCCATTTAAAAGTTAAAGAGAGAAATGTTAGCCAAAATCTATAGTGGATTATTGTAGTTGATACCACTATTTTATAGTAACTAGATCTATATGTTGCTTAAAATAATTCACAAAAGGTTATTTTAAAGAAAAAAACATCATTAAGTTATACAATTTTTGTACACTTCTATTAACCTGAGAAAGTCTGCATCACTGTTCAGCCTTCAACAACTTAGCAAAAAGGGCTGAAAAATAAACTTACCAAATGCAACAGCCCAGCAATCTCGCTTTGTTTCTCCCTCCCCAGGCTCCATGGTTGCAACAGGATCATTTTTTTGCCGTGGATCCCAAACTTTAACAGTACCTGAAGAATAATAATTATGTTTTCATTATTATATTATTATTTGACCTGTTTACATTAATGTAACAATTATTTTACTTTTTTGTTATTACAGTTTTTTAAATAAAATTTTAAGATACATGAAGTTAAAAAGATTTAAAATAGTTCTGGAACCAAACAATAAGATTGAGATAGCTATCTTGGAACAGAAAATAACATTAATTATATTAATACATAACAGTTGAGTTATTTTAATTTTAGACACATAGCACAATTTACCATCTCTGCTGCCCGTCACTATTTCAGGAGCTCCTTCTCCTATGCCAAGACCCCCCACTCCATCTATACAATTGATAATTTCCTTGTGTGCTTGGGCTGAATATACAGGGAGATCTAATGATTCCAAATTCCTAAATGAAAGAATTTAATAAATAAAAAAGATTTGCTTTCAATTTATCATCATTTTTAGGCCTACATATTGGTCTATAATGGAATTAGAATTGACATCAGTCATTGAGCTTAAACTATACTAGCTTGTACTTCAAAAACACTTCACTTATATAAATGTTTAGTAATATAAATAGAAAGTTCATATTGTTAGTTCTCTGGTAGGGTGAAATGAAAATGACTGGAGCTGAAGAATTTTTCAATAAATTCCATCATTTGTATCCAACAAATAGAATAACAGCATACTCTTAAAGCTGACTTAAATTTCACAGTAAAAAAAGTAAACACATTTTAATTTTTCCTTACCATATTTGTAGCTTTCCAGAAAAATCTCCAGTTGCTAGGAATCGGTTTTGAATACTTGATGCACCAAATGTGGCACACTTAAAGGATTTAGACTTTTCAACCTAATAATGTTAATTTTTATATTTTATTTAAAATATGAATTAAAATTCATTAACTTAATTAAACTATCAACTGGAAAAGTGTAAACAATATAATGAAATCACTTGAAATTTTAAACCATTGTGATCTGCTTTTAACTTACATCTTTAATGAGTGCAACATCTCCATGTGAAACTTCATAAATCTGTAGTGCACCTGTACCTCGCGGATAGTTACCAAGCGCTACAAATTTAGCACTACAAGGTATCCACTTTGCATCATACAATGTGTAATTGACAGATTTCTGTATGTGAAGAATTATCTGAGGCTTGTCCATTATAATAATTTATATTCAAGCCTGATCTGAAATAATGAAGAATTATCATATAGGCCTAGAATGGCTAGGTGTAGTACATAGGCCTATATATAAGTATAGTTATAATACTGATACAGCTATGTTAGGCATATAAAATTAAAATGAGAATTCAATGAAATAGCATAATGTAAATTACTCTATTTAATAATTTTTGGCTACTAAAAATGAAAAATGCCTTCAAAAGGACAAATATAACTGATAAGTCATAGACTAACTACTATTAATAAACATTATCAGGGGTGCCACTCATTTTTTAAGTGAATCCTGAAAATGAATCCCAAAATTTTACCAATCCTGAAACTAAAATTTGAAATTTTTGAAACCCTGAAACTTAATTTCGCGCGGAATTTCAAAATAAAATGGACTGTTATTTCATTATTTTTTGAGACATTTGATTCATATATTATGTTCAATTTACATGTCTTTAAAATGGATTTATTTTCTTTGTAACAAGCTTCAAATAAAAATTAATCTTTAAAGGATTGTGCTTACAACAAAATTAGTTTACAATGTTACTCCCATCTCTAGGCCTACCCCATAATGTGCTATTGTAGAACTCCCCCCCCCCCCCCAGCCAGCTTTTATAACATAACTATTTAATTTTTTAGAACTTCCTAGCTTGAGTTAAAGTGTGTAGTCAGCCAACTGTTAAGTAACAAATATTTTGCTAACCTCTAGTCTTGTTATTGAATAATAAGCCCACTATATGCAGACCCCTAATAAGATTTCCACTGTATTAAAATACAGGGTTGACTTACTGTAGCTATTCAAGGCTTTAATTATTAACAGCCACAACAAAAACCTTAAACCCTGTTTTCCCAATCAACACCAATGGGGTCATCCATAAATGATGTCACGCTTTTTTGACGATTTTTACCTCCCACTTCCCCTCGGTCACATATCGTCACAAAAAGCCAGACCCCGCCCTCTAAAATGACGTCACACCTCAACCTACACCCCCCCCCCCCTAAAAATTGCAGTCGAATTTTTCTTAAAATACGATATTTTTCCAAAAATCTTGTCTGATCTCTGTCAACATAGAGTATTTTAATCAATTCCTATTACACTTATTGAAACAATATTCTAAAACGCGAAATAACGGCTAAAATTAGTTTTCTAACATAGCTTTTCGATAATGCAAAAGTGTGATGTCACACCATCTGAACCCCTCCCCCTCATGACAAAATTACGGACCCCCCTCCCCCTGCGAGTGTGACGTCATTTATGAACGACCCCAATGCCCCCACCTTTGATATACATGATGACGTGAAGAAATATTGTGGAAGTTTTAAGTTCATAAGAATTAAGTTAATTTTAAAAATAATTTTAGAAGTAACTACGCTAGTAATACTCATGTCAGAGATGTAGCCGCCCGACTAAGTGAAAAGCGGATTTTTTTTTACAAGCGGTTGGGAGGGGGCAGTGATAGCGGCTATTTTCAAGGTTGTTTAAACATTTCAATGACGTTTTACCAAAGTAAAAAAAAAAAAAAAAATTAGATGTAGACCCTGCTAGATCGTGTAACTAAATTATAGCGGGCCTACATATTTTTTTTACTGATATAAAACGATGCAGATCTATTTTTTTTTCTTGAATTAAAAATAACCACGTTAAAATTAAACAGCGCTTGTACTTGTAGAACTGCCTTGACCGAGAGACACGACTCAGACTGTGTTCACGTGGTCTCGTGACGTAGGTCTTACGGTCAGCGCGACCTTGAAGAAGCGGGTACGAGGTGGTAAAAAGTGACGGTAAAGTTGAGTGAAAACAGCACAGTTCTATTTCATACATAAAATAGTCCTCCAAATAAATTTTTTCTTTTCTTTTTGTAATACCAAATACCAAAAAAAAAAAATTATCGGAGCAAAATCTTTGTTTTTTTTAAAAGACGATCGGCGATGCTAGTGAGCTAGATCTAGTAATTGTAGAATTTAGTTGTTTTATTACACAGCCTAGCGGTATCCCATTGATGACATCACGTAAATAATACGAGTTTTACCCCCAACCCATATCGTCATAAAAAATAGCCAAACAGCCACACCACGAATGACATCAAAAAGTTCCGTCTAGGCCTACAGCCTCACCCATCTGATACAGCTGATTTTTATTTGGTCCTTGGCGCACGCGTGAGATTGTTGCTGACGTCATTTATTATTCATTTTTTTTCGGAAAAGGCTATTAGCGGGAGTGTTGATGATAAAAACAATTTTTACAATGCCAAAATTTTCAAGCTTAAAACGATCTAAATTTTTTTTAAAACTGCAAACCCGGAAATTTTCAAACTCGAATCTTGCGAATCCGGAAAGGGAAAAAAATATGATTCTCGAATCCGGAAATCCGGGATATCCCGGAAAAGTGGCACCCCTGCATTATTAGGCCAAGGCCTAATTAATAATTAATAATGGTAATTTAATAGAATACCACTCATCATAGAAGATGAGATACACTGTGTGTTGCTAGCACACAAAGCCTTGCCATAATTAATTGTTGTTAGAATCTAGCAGCTTTTTCATCAGTCTGTCTCAGTTCATGGCTTACAGATTTGTTTGTTTATACCCATCCCACACTGATTCTGAACACTGAAGTCAATCTAACATCAACACGAAACTGCAGGGTCATAGTAGGCCTATACTATATATAGATCTATATATCATATGCAAAAACATAAGGATTCTGACCCTCACCAAAAAATGTACTAAAAAACTATAATATAAATAGGTAATCTATCGTTTTAGGTACGTAAAATTGCCCGCGGCTAGTAATGTACGAAACAGTTACCTCATTGTCAAGGCTTTAATAGAAGTATATTGTGATATATTTGTGTCAAATATTATAGATAAATGAATAATAAACCTATATCAACGGCTAAATATATCAATATAGGCAAGAAATTAACTTTAGACAGCAGTGTTTGCGTGCAGGATTTGCTATATAAAAAGCTGTCATCTGTAAGTTAGAGTGGCTAATATAATATTTGACACAAATACATCACACTATACTTCTAGACTATTAATAATTAAAGTTAAAGCCTTGACAATGAGGTAACTTTTTCAGACATTACTAGCCGCGGGCGATTTTACGTACCTAAAACGATAGATTACCTAATAATCTAACCGTCCTAACGAATCACAAAATTACATCTATGGCGTGATTATTCTGACCAGGATCAATAGCTATCAAACAAACTATTAGATATGAAAATGTATGAATTGGGGTAAAACCTTAGTTTAGCGTCGGTTATTATTCTGGAATTGTATAGCACAGCAGTAAAAAACAAGAAAACATTGACAAAGTCTGTCACACAGTTCCGGAATCCACCTGAAGTACTGTAAACCATACTTTATTTGGCATCATCTTTTATTTTTTATACAGAATGTTTAAAATTTGTTACAAAGGTGTGGTTTCATTTTCAAAATAGGGTACGAACCCTGTTTCTACAATTCTAGTCACTTTTACTATTTTTGTAATCATTTTTACTATTTTCGTAATCTAGATTTTTTTACTTGGCCTAGCAGCTAGCTAGATTCTAGATCTAGATCTAATTAATTAATGCAAATTCGCTGCAAGCCAAAAATTATATTAAACAAATTAGGTAATCTATCGTTTTGGGTACGTAAAATCGCCCGCGGCTATTAATGTACGAAAACGTTACCTCATTGTCAAGGCTGTAATAGAAGTATATTGTGATATGTTTGTGTCAAATATTATAGATAAATGAATAATAAACCTAAATCAATGGCTAAATATATCAATATAGGCAAGAAATTAACTTTAAACAGCAGTGTCTGCAAGCAAGATTTGCTATATAAACAGCAGCCATTTGTAAAATAGAGTGACTTTTTGTATTTTCAAAACATAAATCCTCCTCAAAATGTGAAATAATTATTAAAATGTAAGGAGTCACCTGTTTTTCACATTACTAGATCTAGTCGCGGGCGATTTTATGTACCCAAAACGATAGATTACCACAAATTATTTAATTTATTACATTTGACTTTATTTAACTTTTTATATTTTTTTTTCAATTTTTATATCTACTAATTTAAATCTACTATTATATTTATTCCTGTTTCCTTTTGTCGATTTAACTTAAAAAATTAAAATATTAATTTACTACAATCAACAATCGACTCTCACTTTATTTATATTTCACTAATCACAGCCTTCTTGAATTTTCTTTAACTATTTAACCACCACGCCTGATTTTCATAAAAGAAGAGCTATTTATTTAAGAGTGTTCATTATATTTTGGTGTTTTAAAATTAGAATAAAAACATAATTTCCTTCAAATGTATGTTAGAATAATTATAAACAGTAAAATATTTTATTTTATTAAACAAATTATTTATCAATTGAAACTCCTTATATTTCAAATAAACTTAACTTATTTATTAAATAAAATTCGCCCCAACAAACTAAGGCTCGTAACCCAACGGTAACTAGGCAATGACAAGCTCACGCAGGTTTAGTTTTCGTTTAGACTTTTAGAATGATTGTGTAAACCCTTAACAAAAATAACAGGTAAAAAAGTCACAGGAAAGAAAGTCACAAATGTGTATTCACGAGGAGTTTGTTATATTTTTATGAATGTATTAAATATTCAGAAAATGCAAATCTACTTATTTTCAATGAAAGAATGTTTGGCCATACAAATCTTGACCTCTTTTTTTTTTACCCGCTATTAATGTTCCTTAAGTGGTAGTGTACGTATAATTTAACTACCTGTATTATTTTCAATTCACTCTCCAAACTGTTTTTGAAATCTTTGCAAAAGCAGACGATTAGGGCTAGACTAACCCGTCCCACCTAGTAAACTCATGTCACTGATATCTAAACTTGTATGAACTCACCTTGACCCCAAGTACGTAGTTGGTAGTTGGTGCTGTTTGGCTGGGGAGGGGGGGGGCGAAAACAAAGTTATGGTACAGTTCATGCTATGACGTATTAGACTGGGCTACTGTGACCTCACAGTGACCCCCTCCACCGTCTCTTGTTGTGTGAGAGTGGGGGGGGGGGATACCAGTTGTTTTTAATAGCAAACAACATAGGTAGTATAAGCACACATAATGGCAATAATAATGGTGTGGTTTAATTACAACAAAGGTCTGGTTTCATTTTCAAAATAGGGTACGAACCCTGTTTCTATTCACTTTTGCTATTTTTGTAATCATTTTTACTTTTTTCGTAATCGATATTTTTTTTTACTTGGCCTAGCAGCTAGCTAGATCTAGATCTAATTAATTAATGGTCGCAAATCCGCTGCATTCTATGGGTAATGGAGTCGAAAAAACTGGGCTTTTGCAATTCTGTGTTGACTAATAATGTATTAAATGTATATAATTTGGTTTTTCTAATGAATATGTTGTTTTAAATGTGTTGGATTTTTAGCTATTTCTTTGCTTTGTCACTAATGTCGTTCAACGTGTAGTAAAGCACATTGCGTTTTGACCAATAACTATTTTATAAAATATTTTTCTCAAACAAGTAAAATATTGAAATATAGGGCCTATAGGCCAATAATTCACACGTATACCGATGGCTTGTATAAGTATATTGGTTCCCAGAAAGAAGCGCAACGGAAAAAGGCGCAACGGAAAAAAGAACACACAGAAAAAAAGCGCAAACAGAAAAAAGCGCAAACTGAAAAAAGGTCGACAATAAACCAACACGAAGTCTGTACATAATTAACTTCTTTATTGTTTGAAAGTACGAACGAGACCTAGACTGCCTATTAGAGAATGGACCGCCAAACATTCCTAACCACACCATTTATACAATACCTAACCTCTAAATTTCCTGCGATATATGTCACTTCCCTCCGAATCGTTCCTATTTTACAGAATTGTGTGTACTATTTATTTACATTCTTTAATCTCAATATAACCAAAATAGACTATAGTTTGAATGGTAATGAAAACATGTAAACAAAAGGGTCGCTACTCTAAATCTATGCGAATACTTATATGTAACAATCCTAACACAAACCAAAGCATGTACTGAACGGCTACAGGACATTACCCCCCGGATATCCCCCCCCCCGTATTTATATCCCCCCGGAGCAATTCCCCCCTGTCAATTACCTCCCTGGGGAATCACCGTCCCCCACCCACCCACCCATCCATCCATCCATCCATCCAACAAGATAGAATCCTCATTGTAAATCTAACTCTATACCTATATATTACCATAATCCTAACCTTAAGACAAAGACGAAAATACTAAGAATTTACCTCACCCTAAAATTAACCAAAAACCAAACCCAACTCAAGACATTGATTTAAGCCTAACCCTGACCCTAACCCTAACCCTAGCCATAGTCCTAGCCCTAGCCCTAAACCTAGCCCTAAATCTAGCCCTAGCCCAAAATCTAGCCCTAGCCCAAACTCAAACCCTAGCTCTAACCCTAGCTGAACCTTAGGCTATGACCGGGAGTAATGTCCTACTGGGCGGGGGGTAATTGACAGGGGGGTAATTACTCCGGGTGTAATGACGGGGGGATGTCCGGGGGTAATTGGCGGGAGTGGGGGTAATGCCCTGTCCCCGTACTGAACAGCATAATGGGCAGCATGTAGCCTATATAACAGAAGAGCTGTGGATGTTGACATCATTTTACATTCGTCCGGGAAACATTTTCAGTAAAAGACCTTCAAAAACATTACATAACCTTTTTATAAAGAAACAAAGAGAGATTAAGTTTTATTATAACATCAGGCTTTGACTTAGACCTACTCCTATGGCATCTACATTGTTAAACTGATTAACTATATAATGTGGGGCTCAATTGGATCAATGAACTAAACTTACACCAAACCAGTTTGAAAGTTCGAGTTTTGTAACACTGTTACTAAGCTAGCAAAATGGAAATATGCATAATCTATATCATCTACAGTAACACCCAACCACCTACCTAACTACCCACCCACACATCTACCTACCTAACAACCTACCTACCCACCAACCCACCCACTTACCCTTCATCCATAAATAAATATATATGTTATAACTGGGGCTATGTGTCCCGCAACTATGCAGTGAGAGGATCTACACTACTATTATATTCTGTCTAGCCATTCAGTAGTTTATCCCAAAGCACGACATCAAGGTATACAAATGATTCGACATGATGACATTATTTAATTTTACTATTTATTGCACTATAAAAAATACATAGGACGACTTGAACGAACGAAAGAAAGACTGTACTACAGTACGACATCACCTTAACACAACAAGAACAAGAGTACATTTTAACTCCTTTCCCCGACAACAACGAACTAAAACGTCACATTGTAACTATTCAATGCGTCATTAACTTTCGCACTAATATTCGTTCACACCAATCCTCCCAGTTTAAACACACATCACAACAATATATATATATATATATATATATATATATATATATATATATATATATATATATATATATATATATATATATATATATATATATATATATATATATAAAATTAGGTGGGTAGGTAGGTAGGTAGGTGGGTGGGTAGGAAGTTAGGTAGGTAGCTGGCTAGCTAGGTAAGTAGGTAGGTAGGTAGGTAGGTAGGTAGGTAGGTAGGTAGGTAGGTAGGTAGGTAGGTAGGTAGGTAGGTAGGTAGGAAGGTAGGTTGGTTGGTTGGTTGGTAGGTAGGCGCGTCATGATGAAATCATATTAAATACATCATTGTTATTATGTGTGTTTTATCAGAGTATTTTGGTGCGAATGAATGTTGGTGCGAGAGATATGACGAACGCATGTTTGGTGACGCGGATGAAAGAGAGTGAAGTTTTGCCATAGAAACGGGTTGTTATGGTATGCAAGCTAGGTAGTTCGGACTAGAATGTGAGAGATACTTCGTGTAATGTCGATATCAAGGATAGTTTTATGTTTCTTTATACGAGAATAGTAGTTGAATAAATATTGACCAAGAAAATAATAGGCATTGTTTAAAGCGATTATCGCCTGTATCGTGGTGATGTGGATGCACATGGTAGTGGTATGCTTTAAATGGTAGTAGATCACGTGATCAAACACGACACTCTTATAGCAGCCCTAACAGTCATGTATAAATGTGTCATCTAGTCCATATTGAGTCCTTTCATATGACGTCACGTCCGTTCGTGATACCTACGTCCGCCGCCACGGTGGTGTACACCAGACGTAAACACAATCAGCTGTTCACCAGCGCTGGTCTTTGTGCTAAAATTTCTCTTTGCGCATTTTTCGTTGTGCTTTTTTCTGGTTTCGCATTTTTCTCTTTGCGCTTTTTTCCATTTGCGCTTTTTTTCTGTTTGCGCTTTTTGCTGTTTGCGCTTTTTTTTGTTAGCTCTATTTTCTGTTTGCGCTTTTTTCCCGTTTCGCTTTTTGTTTTGCGCTTTTTCCGTTGCGCATCTTTCTGGTCACTAAGAATATTCAAGAAAAATTAGGGGAGATCACTCCCGCTTTAAAAAAATTGTATTAATAATTAATTAATATAGGCCCACTCAATGTTGACTGAGCTTAGAAATATTAAGAAAGAAATGTTTTTTTTTTAAAAAAATGCAATTTTGAGGGGGTGGGGGTGTAATTTTAGATTGTAGGGCTGTTTGAGTAAATACAAATTATTAAAAAAAAAGGAATTTGATGTCCCTATGCCTTTGCCAGCTTAATAGAAATAGTGGCGTCAAAATTAAATCAACTGCAATGGGCTGAGGAGGAAGCATGTCGATGGGGAATGGGCTAAAAATCAACACAAAAACAAACGTGATGTTCCTTTATGGAAAAAAATAAACCGGGAGTGATCTCCCCTAAACTTTCTCGAATATTCTTATATAAAATAACAGGGGACGGGAACTCGGGCTATTTTTTAATCCATTTTAAATACTTAAAGTTTTAAAAATAGAATAAAATCTCGTAGACAAATTAATTGCACACCAAGTGAACGCCAAATAAAAAAGCGCATAATAGTGCGCAATATTATTAGTACTTTTAAAATTTACATTAGTTTTTTTGAGAAATCGGAAGTAGCGTAAAGTACTACTTCCAGTCAACGGAAATTACTCAAAATTTAACAGAAGGTAGAGAATTAGATCTTTTACTTACATGTGAAATTTCATTTATCTATCTGAAATAGTACTCAAGTTATAGGCTTTTGAAAAATTCAAAGTAGGAAAAGTACCACTTCCGGTTATCGGAAATCGCTCAAAAGTTGATACGGATCTACGATTTTGATAAAATACTTATATATGAAATTTCATCAACCTAGCTGTAACGGTACTCAAGTTATCGTGTTTACACACGGACAGACACACAGACATACGGACAAGATTGCAAAATTATGTTTTTCCGTATCAGTGAGGTGTAAAACGTCGAGATTTGTAAAAATCTCGATTTTTTTTTTTTGCACGATTACAAGACTTTCTCTATACTTCGTATATACGAGAAAGTAAAAATGAGATACAAAATAAACAGACTCTCAATCGGGAATGGGCTACTTTAAAAATCAACACAAAAAAAACCGTGATGTTCCTTAATGGACGCCCCTTAAGCCTATATTAAAACAGAAAGATGAGCTAAAAAATAAGTGAACAGACTCTTAACCACCATGAATTTTAAAATTGAGTCATTATGTCGTAATCTATAGAATCTGCATGATCATCATTAATACTAAATTTTTATTTATGGTCAGATATCAGGTTTCTTCCCTCCCGTGTGGTTTGTGGTACAATGTGTCATGTTTTATTGGATATGTTATTTCACAGTACAAAAGAAATAACAAGAGATTAAAACACATCACATTTATTGATCTTATACAAAATGTGAAACTTTACAGTCCAATAAGGCAAAACAAAGTTTACAAACAAAATTTTAAAAGCATTGTAGCATATTTGGCCTGACTTCAAAGCTAAGTTTTTCACTGTTGATTGCTGTATACTCAAACAGTACAATTAAATATTTTGTGGTTTATCTTAAATATTTATAAATAAGCAGTTTCTAATATTTGAACAACTACGATTATGAAATAGCACTGTAAAGCAGCATGGCGAGTTACTTAAAATAAAACATCCTGAAAAACTATTCTCTATGTTGAAGAATTAGAAAATACATACAAAACCTGAAAATGTTGCATACTATTTTAAAAACCTCACAATCTAGTCCATAATAGTTTGACAAAAATAAAATTGAAGCATAGAAAGTGATGAGGCACAAACACATTACAGATGGGCACATGAGACTAGGAAAGAGAAATATCAATGGTTTTAAGCAACAATAATGACTATGTCATTGTTGTGTTAGTTCAAGACAGCTGGGAATGAATGATAAACAAAATTATTGAAGTGGTACACCAAAGCTTCCTTTTTATGAAGGTGTAGCTAACAATACCAAGACACCTTAACATCACTGGTTTAAAAAAAAACAACAATCTACAACTGTAGCAATATGAACATTCAAAATATTAACTTGTATGATTACATAGCCCACCACGTTGTGACATTTTGCCTAAACAATGTTTGCTTTAATTAAAAAATACTTCACATGCTAAAAAGGTCCAAAATAAAGAGACCTATGAAGTGATTGAAACAACTGCTTTTTAAAAAGAAATTAATTTATTTAAGTAATTTCTTTAGCCACTGTAACACTTACTTCTTTTAAAACTCTTGTATATAAAAAGACAATTAAAAATCAAATTTGAAAGATAAATGAAACGGTGGAATATTGACAAAAGCATGTGCAAACTATGTGTCAACAAAATAAACCATGCTCTGATGATAAGTCCTATTACAATTTTTGTTACCAGTTTGCAGTAACACAAGTGATCCAACAAAATTTGATAACCTAACATTTATCACAAGTTATTAGTGGGAAAACCGTGGACTAGGGGTTGCAAAAACATTCCTGAAAGTGGGTGTGTTAATCACAGGGGGAAACAAATTAGTGAAGCTATCCTAATGTGGTTTGAGTTCTTAATGAATTCAAAACTTCCTAGCCACATGTTGCTAATGTTAACACAAAAATTATATTAGTATTTAAATGTATTCTAAATGAATGTTGGCATTTTAGTTGAGCATTTGAATGTATTGTTTAACAAATTATCATGCTCCAGTACATTGTATGACAAATTTATTTACATATTGAAGTGTAGAATACACAATAAAAAGCATGTAAACTTTGGTTAAGATTATCTACTAAATCTATGCAAAAATTGTAAAAGCATTAGTCTTTTTCTGTTGATTACAATTCTATACTAATGAAAACAGAATACATTTAAGAACTTGCTTCACACATTCATTAATTCTTTTCACTTATCACTCACACCACAGAAATCTTGTGCAATGCTCATGTACTTTTGATTACTGGCAAGTGTCACATACTAAATAAATAAGTTATTTTTTAAATTCCATGAGATCTGTACTGGATATTAAAAATCAAACAAAAATAAAGTGAAAAAAAAACCCTGTTTAAAAAAATGATTAATTAGGATCTGAATCTCATTAAAAAAAAACACAATTTTCCATCCCTACTCCCTCAAAATAAGTAACAAAGAAAGGTATTTTATAATGTAGATCTAAAATCTAGAAACAAGTATCTTTCAAATAAAACATGTTATTTTTTTAAGTATATGAATGTAACACCCATCACACATACCATTTACTATATAAAGCCATATACAAAGAGAAAAATGTTCAGCAATTTAAGAAATCACAATTATAGCCGTAAGCTACACATTTGAACTATTCCTGCATATTTTCAATGAGACTGATTTCATTAGCCAAATTGTTGCACAGCATCATATATTTTAAAATATCAGCTAAGTGTAAAAGTTGGCTACTTTCAAAGATCGTCATATTTAATTTTTAAAATGGAAAAAACAATCCTTGTTAAACTGCATGGAGTTCCTCCTAACTTGTTCCTGCAATGTATTATGGTGTATAAATCAATACATACTAAGCCTCTAAATCAAGTGTTGTGTTCACTTCTGTTTCTGGACTGTTATATTTAGTTGTCCCCACAAACCATGTCTGATCTACTGGGCCTTTTCCTTCTTCTTTAAGAATGGCAATCTACTTTGGATACTGGAAGATGTAACAAAAAAGGAATTTATAAACAAAACTGATACTGAAATAAGTAAACAAACATAGGTCTAACACATTAGAAGTTTGCAAAGTTAAATAAAGACTTACATGTTCACAACATTGTTGACTTGGGCTTTTGCCATTCCAATGTAGTTGTCAATTTGCACCTGGAAAGTATTTAATATTTTCTTTTACTCATACTAACTGCAGCTAGTTTCATTTATAATAAATTATATTCTAAGAACTTTACTTCATTTTTAAAATTCAGCATATTATATGTATGCAAACTCTGTATCAATTTCTTCATGAAGCTTGAGACTGATTAAACTTAACAACAGGTATTAACATGTTAATAATTATAGTTTATTGCTAAATTGTGATCAATTTAATCAACAGCCTTACTTGGTATGTTTCATACACTTTGGGCAAAGTGAAAAGTAGAACTACATCTGAAAGTAATAAAAATTATATAAATTAAGTATTTAATAAGCGCTTTTAACTTCTGTTACATTTGAATATAATTTTTAAAAATGTAATGGTCAATTTCAAAAGATATTTATATTTTAAGACTGGGTGCATATGTGTCACCCAATGTAAGATGTTGAGCTTACCCATGATAATGAGGAACATGCCACTGAACCAGTACCCAATGTAAGTCAAGGCCCACAAAAGCAGCCCAAACTAAAAGCAATAAATACAATTATGTCAGTCATTCAATGGCAATAATAATATAATCATTTTCTATTTTCAAAAAAGAAAAGTGTTTAGTAGAAAGATGTTTAAAAATTACCTTAATTGAGTCTACAAGATCTTCAATCAAAAACAGTCTACGTAGTTCATGGGTCAAGCAGTTGACATTTTTAAGTGTGCTGTGAATGATGCTCTTCAGTTTGTTTTCATTCAGTTGAATATCCAAGTCCAACAAAGGTCTAAAGGTTAACAAAGCAAAGAGAATGGCTAATGTTTATTAAATAGCTAACCTTTTCTAAATAACTTTGTCAAATCTCATATATGAGATCATTCTTTTCTCAAGTAAGTATTTTGGGTTAAGTTTTATAAATTGTATCATTAACATGAAGAAAAAAACTTAATTTAAAACACAAAATCTTACTGGAAAGGATGTCCTTCTTGAGACTTTTGAACAGCACCCATGATTTTTTTGTAGACCACAAAACTGAAGGTGACAGTCAGGATAGCCAAAGACAGGTAGGCAATAACACTAATTACAGTGAAGATTGCCAAGGAAATCAAGACCATCATTAATGTACCGAACACAATCCCTGTCTTCTTCACATCTCTCCAGTAGATCAGATCCTTCACTGGAAAAACATTTGATAATATTAGTAAATGTTTTTCAGAGACAAATAACAATATAAAATAATCTGTTAACAAAAATAGATTTATACAAAGATTTATAGAAATAACTATATAAAAAAGGATATAAAAGTATAAAAATAACTGGTGAGATGCAACTAACAAGACACTAATTTATTTTAGTGGAGCTTATTGTATTGTATTGGAAAAATGGGAAGATGTGTGTAGCATGCAAATTTAATTTTGTGCATCTTATGGTATTCATTTAAATGTGTAATACTATATTCTTAAATAATTAAAGTTGTTTAAAATAAACTGATTCATCAACTAGTTTTTTGTAGAAAGTTTTAAAAGATAAATTGGACAACAGGAAAAGATTTAAAAAAAAAAAAATTGTTTTAGGAACTTACAAAATTATTACATTAACAGTAGCAGAAATAGAATTTTTTTTTACTTAGTCCTATACAAGCTAAAAAGAATTTTGATTGAAGTGCTTGAAACCACTTTCAAAATGACATTTTAAACAGATATTTTATCAAAACAACTGTGGCCAAAACCTGGGGGATAGTTACTGAGTATAATACTCTATGTATAAGTTGTCATTATGTTGCTACAAGGGGATCATCCATAAATGACGTCACGCTTTTTTGGACGATTTTTACCCCCCCCCCCCCACGTTGTCATAAAAAGCCAGACCCCCCCCCCTAAAATGACGCCACACCTCAGCCTACAACCCCCCCCAAATTGCAGGTGAATTTTTTTTTAAAACATCGATATTTAACCCCCCCCCCCCCCTACAAGTGTGACATCATTTAAGGATGACCTCCAATTAGATTTTATGAAATAAATAAAACAGGCTATGTATCTTGTATTTCAGCCTTGATGGAGAGGGGAATAAGCTAGATCTCTAGCATTAGTTCCTAAAATATGTTTCTACTTCTTTGTGGATCTTCTAAAGAGTCTTATTGAGAATTTCTTAAAAGGGAAAACACAGCATAAAAATTGCAATCAACAACCCTTAGTGTTGATACAAAAATACTGGGCAAAGATAAACAACAAGTATTTTAAAATAATTGATAGGAAAGACATGGCTGACTAGAGTTACACAGTCAGCCTAAATCTTTGCTTTGAAGGCAATATACTCTCAATAAGATAGATGACTTAAGCTAAAGCACAAATGTTGTCTACATAAAGAAAGAAAGATAAATTTTAAAAAAAATTTCCCCCTTGATCTCTGCATAACTATTGAAGAAAACAACCAAAAAATGTAGAAGGTATATATTAGAGATCATTTATGAATATTTACATAAGATCAACTAGTATTATTCATAAGTTAATGCTACACAGTGATGCTGCAAGGTTAGCACACACAAACCCTTAGGCTCGTTTAAATTACCAATTTTGATGTACAGTATACTGTCTAGTCTATATGAACATACTGTTTCTTTTTTAAAAGCAGAGCGCTATGCACGAACATGATTACTTTGACAGCCCCTGCTTCAATAATCAATCTTTTAGTCAACACGGCAGCAGTGTTATTTTTAAGCTGTCATTGATCTCTAACAAATGAAACATTTTATTTTCTACTTTTCCCCCAATATTTTTCAATCGCAAATAGTATGAGGGCTTAGTTAATATAGCTAAGGGTAAATATGAATAAGTTCGCATTCAATGTAATGCAAAGTAACAGCACTTGTGTCCATGACTAATACTAGGAGTTGTCACTGCAGTGTTAGATCGCATAGCTTATACAGGCTTGGTATGAGACACGCGACACCAAACAGCCATGCTTGACGATCGTGCGCTACACGTCGTCTGCTATCACTAACGTGTGTAGAACAGCAAGGGGAGATAGCCTAACACAACATTCAAATAAGCCATGTGTGTTTTCGGATTTTACTTATCAGCTTATGGCACGCGCTCAATTTACCAATTTAAAATGTGATTATAACGAGAACGTTGTTTATTCAAAGTCTAGCTATTTTTAAGTGAACAGCCTAATTACGTTTGAACAAACAGTACCGGTCTATCTATAAGAACATCTGGCGCGTGTAGGATGTAATCGAGAACTGGGCTCATAAATCATACATGAGAATTATATGGACAAATGCAGATCTATATATGAAGGTTCGTCTGTTGTCCACCGCCTGCCCTTCCCACCAGGGAGCGTTTAACTGATTCCGATGGCCCTATGGTATACAACGTCGCTAAGCAACTATCTGGGGTACTAGATAATTTGTACAGTTTTTATTTGATAATTAAAAAATAATAACTTCGATTGCAAAAATGATATGTTAAAAAAAAGCCAGTAGCGGATTTCATCGAGGCCAAATGCGTAATTGGTTGCCGCCATCTTCAGTGAGTGGACTGCTAGGCGCGTCTAGAGAACCGATCGTTTGTACGGCGTTCATCGATTGTTTTCTGGGCAGCTCTTTGTTCCAACTACTAGACGGTTCAACGATTTGCATAAGCTACCACCAGCTCCCAGTGCTACACAAGAAGAGGGCAAGATTTGATTTCTTTCCCCCGCGCATCTATAGGTAGCTGCGAGCTCGCTTCCCCATCCTATAACCCCCTTCTATGTAGTAATCATACAGACATTTCAGGAATGAGCCTGGCGAAGTTGGCATCGTGACAAACTCCCAGGCAACAATAACAGCACACTCTAATAGGTTGGCCTGTGTACAGGTCTTGAGTAATCGAAAGGGCATTCATAATTAACACTACACGGCTACTCTACTACGTCAATGAAATATGCATAGAGTCGTAGCGGCTGGTTCATTCCTTCTAAAAGTGCCGTCCTATGTATGTCACGCGGCATACACGTGTTTGTGACAGGCCTGATAAACAACGTTATCTGTTCAACACCGCGCACTATCAATGTTAGTTTAACCAACAGTCACAAATCTATAGCTGCTGATATATAATCTTTGCGGTTAATATGACGATGATATGACAGAACTTTGACGTGAGAAGTAAGGCTATTGGGAGTTAGCACAGTACAGTTCTTATTTTTTTTAGAACGTCTGGACAATGCAGTGTCATAACCATTATAATATCTGTCGATATTGATTTTATTGTTGGGGTTAGGACATGCTCTAGGAATTGCGTTAGGGTAGCGATTGTAACAAAATGTAGCTTCAATACATCTGCCGGCATTTTGCAAGTAGCTCAACTCCGATTATTACATTTTAGAGCCCAGCTGTTTGGCGAGGAGAATACATAAGTAAAGGAAACAAGTCAAAATAACGTATACAAAATGGAACGGGATGCAAAAATAAAAAATAAATCATCAAGCCTGAAAAACACAAAAGCAGTAAAGAAACCAAACCACCAAGTGTTCGGTTATTCATATTTAAAGCAGGTTCTAAATTATGATCGCCTGAAGCGCTAGTTACATACGGACTAACTTAAGATAAAAAAAAGTTAATCGCTCGCAGTCCATGCGAATGAAATATGCGCAGCAAATTTGCATTTCTTCCAGGCCACGTCGCAGATATTCAGTCGCCCAGTCTGCTGGTAGGATATTTCAAACGAAAACGATCTTTAGACAGTCATTATTCCCCTGACTTGCAAAAAAAATTTTTCCCATTTTTTTCTCTCCAAGTGTATACTTAATAAATATCCCGTCTCCAGTAAACGACCACAAGGGGTCTAGTTAGACACATCAACCTCTCGGACGTACATGAGCTAGTTCACATCGATATGATGTCTTGTTTTACTTAGAGTCTATATGACCTAACAGTAACATGTGGCTATAGGGTGAGGTTTCAAGTCAAGTGTCAAATGATGTGAGGGTATGTCAAATGCCATTCATTTTTGGACAAACTAAAAATAAAAGGGCAATTTTTTTGGCAAGATACAGGGCATACAAAACACTTTAAAAAGTCAATACAGGCTAACTAGCAACAGGTGTCTCGGCTAACAACAAGCTTCATCAATATGTACTGGTACAAAAAAAAAAGCGGTTTCAAATTAGAACACAAAACAGCTGCTGCTGACACAAAATTTAAACCTATGTGCAAGTTACATAAGCAAGTCACATGCAAGAGTACCAAAGTAGAAACTAGTCCTGAAGAAACACAGCCTATTCTCCAAAGACCCAGGCAAGAGGAAAACAACTTAGACTATCACTTACAACATGACTGAAAATCTGACCCTTCTGTAGCTTCATCTTTCGAGCCTGTTCACACACACACATACATCAAAGACATAATCAAACACTTCTCAGTATATAAATAAAACAACTGGCAACTGATGTACTTAAAAAAGACAACATTAATAAATTCACATGCATAACTTTTTAAAACTAAGCATAATAAAGAAGCTATCAAGAGATTTTTTACCATAAATATTTAACAAATAAAATGTAATATTCTACTAAGAGAAAAAAATTAACTTAAAATAGTTTTTCACTACTGATAAGGAAAAATCAAGTACAGAAAATATATTTATAAAATAAACTTACCCCTTGGATCCACTCCTTTCAGCCATGTGCCTGATATATTGTAGTAGAAAAAGTGGGAAAATGATGATTAAAAAACATTGAATTAAAGTATATTAATATTCAATATGACCAAACTTGAGGTAATTGTTAAATACTAATACAATTTTAATATTAGTTGAATAGTTTTAACTACTACTGATAAAATTAAGCTAATAACATATAAGTGAAAAAAGGGGAAAAAAAAACAACAAAAAACAAACCAAGAATTCAGAAAAGTTAATTGTTAATTTTTTAAATTAGAAATTCCTTATACCCAATTATAACTATTTATGACTATTATTAAATACTTATAGACAATTTAATCTTAAATTTGCTGAATTGATGTAATTTTAATTTTTTAGATAATACTAATGTAATAAGATGTATAAAGTATTGATATGGCTTTATTTTAAAAAACAAACAGCATTTAAATGCTGGGTCTAGAGTTTGTTAAGAATATTAGTTGATCTCTGGAGTGGAAAATTTAGTGAAACATGTATATGGGGAAATCAAACAAAATTATCACCTAGGTAAACAATTGCAAAAGGTAGGTAAAGAAAACAGGAAAAAAGCCAAAACTGCTCTTAATATATACTGAGGAGCCTGACAATAAGCAGATTAAATAATTTGTAGAGTAGCTTGCACATACAATTTAAATAAATGAAATTATCCTTGGATTATGACTTTAACCATACTGTTTAATGAGTTATACATAAATATGAACTGGTACCAAATCATTTTTCCATGATCATTTGAGGGCAAAATAGTATTTTAATTGAGTCTATTAGATTTAAGTTCAAGGCTGTGACTAACGGTGGTATAGTGACACCAGCCAAAAATAAACTTTGATCAGTCAAGCAACAAATACAGTTGTTAAGATCAGACCGTAGAGTTTAAAAAGCATTGCAAAGCCAGCAGTAGATGGGAATAAACATTAATAAAAAACTTTTTAATACATGACTTATGTTTTACAGAACATTGTATCTAGCATATTTTAATTTAGCATCACTAGGGAAGTGGATTTCCTTTTTAAAAGAAAAAAAGCAAAATTTGGTTATTAATCTGAGTTTTACCCACGACCACAAGATATTTATAAATAACTGTCTGCTCAAGAAGATCCTTTGATGGGGTTTGTTTCTCATGAACTTCAGGAGGTGGGAGAATTTTTGTCATTTTATCTTTTTCTAAAAATTAAAAATACTAGCTTCAACAATCGAAATACAAGTTATTCCTAATTAAAGCAAATAACTAAATGTTTATTTTTTATTCTCTCTGCTTAAAGTAAATACTATACTAACCACCACCAAGTTAAATTGTCCATAAAAACACCCAAAAAACATACTTATATACCATAAGTACAATTATTTTAACTTAATACTTACTCCCTTCAAATAAAAAAAAAACTAATTTATCTTAATATAGCAGAAAAATATTTTTATAATAAAAGCATTGTATTGTTATGAGCATTACAATTTTCTTAATTGCATTGCTCATTAAAAGTACACAAAAGACCACCATCATACCAACCTGCCTCTGCTTCAGTGCCATGTAATTTAATGACAAGTATAAGTGAGCATGTGAGACTGCAACTTAGCACCAAGACAGATTTTTATACTGCGTATACTAGTTTATACAATAAACCAATTCCTATTGGGTCTAGTGAAAATCTATAAAATTCGTTTTAATTTAGGATTTTAATGTAATGAATTGGTACATCATATATTTTAATACTGTTTTATTTAAAATCTGCCTAATTGATAGCCTATATTGGATGTGATTTGCAAACTGAATACATAGTTCTTAGCACAAAAAAAGGAGTTTAAAAAACATTTTAAAAAATACAGTAAAAATATTGTCAAATAGCAACTGAAACTTCATAACTTAACAAGCAAACAATAATTTGACCTAAAAACAGAAATGCAACTCCTATCCCTTTTTATTACATATTTAATTAATATTTAAAAAATCCCCCTAGGTTGTAAAATTTGCTAATTATGCAATATTTGTGTATAATACTGGACATGAGTTTCTTAATTAAAGATAACAAAAAGTAAAGCATATACAAACGGAAAGAATATATCTCAAAAACAACAACCTGAATAAAATCCTTATTATTAAAAAAATATTGTGCCAAAAAAAAAAAAAGAGACAGACCTCAGAACAATAAATAGCAATACATTTTTGCAATATACATTTTAATTTTACATTAAAAAAAAAGTTCTTTTAGTTTTTATTAAAATTACCATTATAGTTCCCCAATTGTACACAGTAGAGGGTGAAATTTTTTTATAACTAACTTTTATAAATTTCATGTGTACTTAAGCGAATTTTGTGTAACCATGAGTAGGCCTACTTTTTTTAAAGAAAATAAATCATGTCTCAATCTCATCCAATAACAAAATGCTATTGATAAAGGAATCATTTCAACCTATTTAGTCTAAAATACTGAATTTAATGCAGCTCTACAAGTGTGGAAGCCATGCAAGTAGATTAAGCTTTTAAACAGGAGCAGCACTACATGACAGACAAAGCCTCAGGCAATTTTATTATTTTTAAAAATACAATTCTTGAGTAAGTGCTGAAGTATAAAATTCCTAGTTCAATTAATAAAACTTTGGGCAGCTAAATTCATAATGATGTTTTATCATAAAAATGTGCATCATATAATCAATCAGCCAGAAATGAACAATTGTTGATAGATAATAACGTGATATAGAAATCTATGAGTATTATTGTCACTGCAGAAACTTCACAACTACTTTTCCAAGAAAAATACAACTTAATCGTGTGCAATTAATGCATTTGCAGTATGCTTGGTTGGACTACTGTATTCTTTTGAAGCTACCATTTAAAAAGGCGTGCCATAAAACAGAATAATAGTATTAATAGACCAACCTTCACAAATTATAAGGACTAATAATTTTTATGAATTTAGTAAGCCTAATGATAAAGCAGGCCCTATGAGTATGACTAAGATAAATATTGAAAAACATGCATTTTTATCAATTAAGGGAGTGTGAAATTTTATTAAGATGTAGCGAGTTAGGGAAAGAATGGAAGTTAAATTTGCAAATTAGAAGATTGAGTGGTTAATCCTAACAATATGCAGACTCAGAAAAACAACAGGTTCACTGAATTCTTGAAATGCTTTGAAAATGTGCAGTCTCAAACTCATTCTTTACCTTTAGAACTACTTGTTCCAGCTGAACTTTGTTCAGTAGTTTTAACAACTGGACTACTTTCTTTAACTTTGTTAGCAGTAGAAGTGGGAATGGGTTCAGAAATTTGGCTATAAGATGAAGGGTGAACAACTGGATCTTCTGTGTGACTGAAATCAATTAGTGGTTCATTACTATCTGGCACTGGAGCAGACGGCTGTGCTTGGTATACCATATCAATATCTTCTTCATCTTCAACATTATTACTATAATCATCCCCAAAATTAATGAGAGGTTCTGAGGAATTTTGTGCGTTTGTATTTGCTTCAGCTTCTGAAGCACCAACTGCATAACGATCTTCTTCTGCATCTTCTTCACCAGGATAATCTGTGGTAGTAGAGATTTCCGCATCTTGATTGCGGTCATAGTCATAGTCGTACGCACCTGATGAACCTACTCCACTAAGATCGTCGGCATCTTCGTCACCCATCATCCCACCGTCATTGTCGAAACCGCTGCCAGGCGGGTCTAACTTTTCGAAGTCATCATTAGCATAACCAGAACTTTCAGGATGACTATCGTAAAGTTCATGAGAATTTGTGTCAGCCATTATTTAATGCACGAAAGCTAGAATAAGTCACAAGATCCTACACAGAACAATATTATGGACAGCTGTTTACTTCATGCAGTCTCTGCTCAAATTATCATGGCCGTTCTTGTTGTTGACGTACCTGTGAGCATGCGCAAACAAGATGTTAATTTATCAGTCAAGGGAGACGATTGCAATATTTAACATCCATTAATTTTTCAAAGAATATTTAAGTTAAGGGTCGTTGCATAAATCTAGCAGTAGTCTAAGAAAACTAAAACCAACTAGGGAGCATTATAAACTAAACATAAATAAATTGTCGGTTAAAATCGTCAATTTTCCTTTTAAAAAAAACAACTTATTAAAAAAAAAAAAAAAAAAAAAAAAACATGTCTAGAACATGTCATTATTCAATAGTAATAACTAATAGTTATTTACAAACACAGTGCTGTCGTCGCGTCTTTAGTTACGCTCAGAGTTTCTTCCAGGCATCTCTTCGAACAAAATGGAATTTATATAGTAAACATATACTTTTTATTAGTGTCCGCCCCCCGCCCCCCCCCCCCCCGGAAAATGTTGAGCGCCCCCCCCCGGAGAAAAAAGTATGGAAGAAACACTGGTTACGCTAAATTTTAATTGAACAAACTGGCTTTACATGTATGGAGGACTAACAGAAGACCTCTGCCTTGCCAGGAAAAAGTACAACGGTCACGTTTTTACAAAGCTAAGCTTAGACGTTCATTTTTGTGTGTGGATATAATGGCTCGTCAAAACACGCATTTTAAAACCTTAATAGGCTTATAGATTTAGACAATAGGCTTACTTTACAAGGGGTACGGACATAATTGTAGAGCCTATTCAAACCTGTTTCTAAGAGACAAGTATTTTAAGTATCTGAAAAAGGAAAATTGCAAATATCGCTGGGAAAACGTGCATTGCTTTGCCATTTAACAACTATTTGGGGCTCGCATAAAAAATATATATCAACCAATACATACCCCCCCCCCTCAGGATATTCGATACCTAATGGTCCCCGATAAAACAGTCCAAAGTAATGGTCCACGACAAAACGGCCCAATGTAATGGTCCCCGACAAAACGGCCCAATGTAATGGTCCCCGACAAAACGGCCCAATGTAATGGTCCCCGACAAAACGACCCAATGTAATGGTCCCCGACAAAACGGCCCAATGTAATGGTCCCCGACAAAACGGCCCAATGTAATGGTCCCCGACAAAACGGCCCAATGTAATGGTCCCCGACAAAACGGCCCAATGTAATGGTCCCCGACAAAATGGCCCAATGTAATGGTCCCCGACAAAACGGCCCAATGTAATGGTCCCCGACAAAACGACCCAATGTAATGGTCCCCGACAAAACGGCCCAATGTAATGGTCCCTGATAAAACGGCCCAATGTAATGGTCCCCGACAAAACGACCCAATCTAATGGTCCCCGACAAAAAGGCCCAATGTAATGGTCCCCGACAAAACGTCCCAATGTAATGTTCCCCGACAAAACGACCCAATCTAATGGTCCCCGACAAAACGGCCCAATGTAATGGTCCCCATCAAAGGACTTTCGACATGCCGACATTGTGTATTTAGGCCATATAATTAAAACCAATACTTAGAAGTTCGATGCAAAAACTGTAATGTTACCATTGCGCGGCCCGTTATGTTGTGTATATCGACGTGACACGGTGTAACACAGTGTGTACACGGTGAAGACATTGTGTTACACGGAGTCCGTGTAAGTTAGACTGCTGTGATCACCTTTTTTCACTGAGAAACATCAAGCTGCTTTATATGATAAGAGAAAATTACAAGAGATGTGCAGAAGCAGCGAATTATAATGCAAAAAATTGGGATAGGGAGAGGCTTTCATTCATAAATGTTTTGATCATAGAACAAGAGAGACAAGTGTCAGCACAAAATAAACAAAGGCAGAAAATGGTGTAACCACAACGTGACAAGGCAGACAAAGTAATCACAATGTTACAAACGACATGTCATGTAATTACTACATGACAAGGCAGAGAACAGTGTAATTATGGTAATATGACAAAATATAATGCAGACAAAAGTGTAATCAGAAAATCACAACCTGCCAAAGAGCAGAAATCAGTGCATCCACAACGTGATACAATATAAGACAGACAAAATTTTTCAATACAACTTAAAAAAAAAATTATCCATCAATGTACAGAAGACAGACAAATGGTTTATAATGGACAGGCAAAATGCCAGTGTCATTCTGGCATCTCTTCGGATTTGAAGAGCTGTGGCTCCCCCCCCCCCCCACCCCATCCAATCGAAGCAAACCAACTCTCTCCCCCCCCCCCCTCCCCTGAAGAAAAAAAATGTACATAGAAAATATAGACTTTAACCAGTTTCCGTGTCCCTCGGAAATTTAAATGCGTTCCCTGGAGAACGAAATGTCTGAAATAAACTTTGGGGAACTGGTGTTATTTTTTTTTCAAGAATTGAAAAATCAACAAACTAGTGAAAACCACCTATGGGCCATCTAGCTGAATAATGAATTACGGTTTCGGAAATTAGGACGAACATTTTTTTTCACCGAATTAATTTTTTAATAAAAAACTTCTTTAAGATTTTGGAACAACTGAAGTCCAGTTAATCGTGAAAACAACGTTTGCTCTACTTAACTCATCCATGTCAAATTTGTACATTATTTATTATATACAATTTCGTAATCCACGCACACAACGGCTGCACAGAAAAAAATGTCTTGAGCGAATGGCAGTGACCTGCATTTGGGGGACCATGACCTATTTTAGTACATATAAACAATGGTCCACGCGGTCAGATGACAGCGAGGCTACCGCGCGGAATCCCCTACTGGGGTAAACATAGATAACAAATTAAACCGAAAAAAAAAAACTATAAATATTTTCCGACCTCTCAGAACTTAAGGGAAAAGAAACAACTTTCTGCTACACTTAAATAAAGACCAGGTCTCAAGTCCAACTAACTTTCAAATCTTTGAAAACTATTTCATACAAGGTACGTGATTTTAAAATTACAATATTTCATACAAAATTAAAATATTGGAAATGCAAAAAATAAAGATTAAAACACTTTTCTTTAAAGATATTTTTTTAAAGCGTGATATAGATCTAGATTATCTGTTAGCATAAAATAATTGTTTTACCTTGAATAATTCAACGCAAATGGATCTATTTGTGAGCAAGCTGTTCCTTTAGCTAAAACGTGTAGTGTTTCAGTAACCGCTTTTACTCTACATTTTCTGAGCGGAAAGATTTATAAATAAATCAAGTTGTGTGACTGCGAAGTTGTAAACTAGGTATATAGAATCTACATCACACTGCGCAACGGCGGAGTTTTAAAAAATGCACTTCTGAAAATAATGCGAAGTTTAGAACTGCGAGGGGAAAAAACTCCAAGGTTAAGGTGAATAGTTATAAACAAGCTATTATTTCCATTGGACATTTGCAGATGGCGCTTATTGATTACCTCCCATAGCAATTAAAAATATTATAAACACAAGTGGTTGTTTCAGAGTATTATTGGCTATATGTTATATTATATTGCATTTTTAAATAGTAAAATACCTTTAACTATATATGATGAGTAAAATAAACCTTGTTTTTTGTTTTCTTGATGGCGCCAACGTTTCAGTAGGACAAAAATAGGTCTAAATGTCTCAGTGGCGTAGCGAGGTCGGGTGTCACCCGGTGCGGCACCCAATTGTGTCACCCGCCCCTCCTCCCGTAAGAAATATATATATAAATCGATGTAGTGAACGAGTGAAGGGGGATGAATGGGGTGAATGTTGTTGTTTCTTGGTACCCTATCCCGTTCGTCCTTGTTCAGTTCTCGTGCTGTGTGAGTTGTAATAGTCAGGTTTTTATCACCTCCCTCCCGATACATGGATTAACGTATAGGTTATTACGATTCGCAACCAAACCGTTTTCCTCAGGTATATATATTGCAACGTTGAGTTGATGTAACTCCCCCCCCCACTCTCACTACGCCTCTGCAAGGTCTACAACTCGGTTGTCAACAAACTTCACAACTGACGAGTTATAGTTACTGTCGAACAAAACAAAAATAAAGGTGGATTACGCTATTGTCAACTAACTCCACTTAGAACACATTGGGCATTTTAAACAATACACACAGAGTAGCATGTAGCTAATAGCTTGGTAGTTCAAGGTCTAATGAAAATAAGCAGTCAATGTTTTGGTTGTCTTGCTTGACACTCGAATTCAGGGGCGGTTATTCGGGGGGGGGGGGTGAGACGGCAATGGTACCCACGACAATTCCCAATTTTATAATAGTGCAGTAAAAGTGCAAAGATAAATATGTTTACAATTTGTTGTTTTGAAGTATTATTAACAGCTCATCGCTGTGTGTTGTTACCCGCTAATGTTGTAACACATCGCCTACACAGTGCATTGTTTTTTTTGTAAGAACACACATTGAAGGGAGACAACATGTGGGCTCTGACTCTTGACGTCGGCCTAGCCGTAGTTCTGGTCCTTGCTGTGGTCCTACTCTACATCTTTTACTACGCCGATGCCGATCTGGTGCTGCTCTACAAGGATCGCTTTGGGAAGCGTCCAGGTGAGTGGGAATCTGTGATGGGCGTGGCCAGTTTTTCTACAGCATGGGCGGGGTCAGTGTTTTTCTACAGCATGGGCGGGGTGTGTTTTTCTACATCATGGGCGGGGTGTAGTTTTTCTACATCATGGGCGGGGTGTAGTTTTTCTACAGCATGGGCGTGGTGTGTTTTTCTACAGCATGGGCGGGGTGTGTTTTTCTACATCATGGGCGGGGTGTAGTTTTTCTACAGCATGGGCGTGGTGTGTTTTTCTACAGCATGGGCGGGGTGTGTTTTTCTACATCATGGGCGGGGTGTAGTTTTTCTACAGCATGGGCGTGGTCAGTGTTTTTCTACAGCATGGGCGTGGTCAGTGTTTTTCTACAGCATGGGCGGGGTGTGTTTTTCTACAGCATTGGCGGGGTGTGTTTTTCTACAGCATGGGCGTGGTCAGTGTTTTTCTACATCATGGGCGGGGTGTAGTTTTTCTACAGCATGGGCGTGGTGTGTTTTTCTACAGCATGGGCGGGGTGTGTTTTTCTACATCATGGGCGGGGTGTAGTTTTTCTACAGCATGGGCGTGGTGTGTTTTTCTACAGCATGGGCGGGGTGTGTTTTTCTACATCATGGGCGGGGTGTAGTTTTTCTACAGCATGGGCGTGGTCAGTGTTTTTCTACAGCATGGGCGTGGTCAGTGTTTTTCTACAGCATGGGCGGGGTGTGTTTTTCTACAGCATTGGCGGGGTGTGTTTTTCTACAGCATGGGCGTGGTCAGTGTTTTTCTACATCATGGGCGGGGTGTAGTTTTTCTACAGCATGGGCGTGGTCAGTGTTTTTCTACAGCATGGGCGGGGTCAGTGTTTTTCTACAGCATGGGCGGGGTGTGTTTTTCTACATCATGGGCGGGGTGTAGTTTTTCTACAGCATGGGCGTGGTCAGTGTTTTTCTACAGCATGCATGGTTTGTTGTGATTGGGATGTCTCCTGCCTATGGCGGTATATCTTGGGACTTAGTATAGTCATTTTTTTTTGGGGGGGGGGGGGGGCGCACTGGTTGAAAACAAATTAAAATTTAACTTATTTTACTTAGAAAATCTGCCGCCTCCAGTTAGTTAAATAGCGTATAGCTTTTAAAGTTGTATACATCATTAGACACAGGGTGACACCTTACCAGACGAGAGTAACACCGAATTGCCAACATTATATTAAACGTAGGCATACATGTAGTATTGTAGTCGTTAGTGGAGAGGGGTGACACCCTGGGCTAATGTACTGGAATTAACCCGAACAAATTACGCAACTGGATGACTCTGATAATTATTACGTTGTGTTAATTCATGTAACGCTGAGAAGATCACGACCAGTGTGTCTTACAGGACCGGTAACTCGCATACATTCATCCAGCTCCTCGATTATCTACGCTTTTGTTCCTTGCAGAGAGCCTGCAGGGAGATGTGGTGTGGATAACCGGAGCCTCGAGCGGGATTGGAGAGTACACGGCCTACCATTTCGCCAGGGCAGGGTGTCGTCTGGTACTGTCAGCCCGCAGAAAAGATGAACTCGATAGGGTCAAGGGAAACTGTCTTAAAATAGGTGCAGTTACATTACGGTCCCGTAATAAATCGACGATGCATAGTTTTTACATAACATAAATAAGAAAACTTCGTCCTTGTCGCAACCCACCCCCTACCTAATGTCTATTTCACTATTTGTTTTAAGGAGTCGTCCATAAATTACGTCACACTCGTAAGGGGGGGGGGGTCCGTAATTTTGTGACGGTGTATGATGAGGGGGAGGGAGATGGTGCCACGTCACACTTTTGCTTTATAAAAAAGCAATGTTAGAAAACTAATTTTAGACGTTAGTTCGCGTTTTAGAAAACTGTTTTAATAAATTGTAATAGTGATTGGAATTGATTAGAATACTCTATTTTGACAGAGTTCAGACAAGATTTTGGTAAAATATCGATGTTTAAAAAAAAAAAATTCAACTGCAATTTCAGGGGTGTTGTAGGCTGAGGTGTGACGTCATTTTAGGGGGGTGGGTCTAGCTTTTAGTGACGACGTGTGACGGAGGGGAGGAGGTAAAAATCGTCCAAAAAAGCGTGACGTCATTTATGGATGACCCCTAATTAAGTTTTAAGTTGGCACCACTGCTGAAGCTGCACTTTTTGTATAAGGCTGTATTCGTTAATCTGGTGCTAGTGACTAGTACAGCTTCTTGTGAAATTAAAAAAGAATTAAACTTTAATAAGGCATTGGCAAACTATAACAATGAATGACCTGATTGTGTACCAAAGGGTGTAACCTTCAAGACAACGACATCCTAGTTCTGGTCTTGGATAGCATGGACTGTGCTGCTCACCAGGATGCCGTCAACCAAGTTTTGAGTCACTTCAAACAGGTGCGACTTGTCTAGTTGGTTTGTTAAAGGTTGGAAAAGATCAAACTTTTTATTATAAGAATTTAATGGGTTAAAATAGATGTTGGTATAATTTTTTTTTTCAATTGAATAGTAAATATTGGGTGTTGAAATAATTTCAGATTAACATTTTAGTAAACACTGGGGTGTTGAAATAATTTCTTCAGATTGAATGGTAATCACCTGGTGTTGAAATCATTTCAGATAGATATTTTGGTAAACAATGCAGGGAAGTCCCAGAGGTCGCCCTGGATTGATGTGGAGCTGATGGTGGACAGAGAACTGTTTGAGATCAACGTCTTTGGACCAGTCTCTCTAACACAGCTGGTTCTGCCCTCCATGATTCAAAGGAAGAAAGGTCACATTGTTGCCATCAGCTCCATAGCAGGAAAACTAGGTAGGTTTAGTATCTGAACTTACACACCTATTCTATGTAGGTTTTGTTATATGAACTATCACACCTATTCCAGGTAGGTTTTGTTATATGAACTATCACACCTATCCCAGGTAGGTTTTGTTATATGAACTATCACACCTATCCCAGGTAGGTTTTGTTGCATCAACTTTCACACCTATTACAGGTAGGCTTTGCTATGTTAAACTATCAAACATATTGTAGATAGGTTTTTATGTGATTGTACATGTTGTAGGCGGGTTTAAGAAACAATCTTACAGAGTTTGCTAAATTAAAGCCAGTTGGTACTGATCATGACACTGCAATAAATCATAATTTTGTTTAATCTAATACAAGTTGAGTTGAATCAAGATTGTAGAATTTAAAAAGTGTTGAGTTGGGACATGAATTTACAAATATATAGAGTAAATCTGAACTGGACAAGGGTGCTACTTAAATCAACCCTTGTTTCTACAGCAATACCACATTCAAGATCCTACAATGGAAGTAAAGCTGCTATACAGGTGAGTTGGTTTACAAGTAATTGTATTTGTTATGAACAAACATATTTCCCAATGATTGGTAAAAAAAAAAAAGGTCATTTATCACTAGGGAATAAAACAAGTTTGTTGGGCTGTTGTTGATCTATCTGAAACTTTATTTGTTGCTTTGGGGTGTTTAAAATGCTCCTAAATGCATGTTTATTTTCTATACATAATATTCTTTCATATGTTTTTAATATAATAAATCCATACATATTACCAGCAAGTAAAATAAATACAATTATAAATTAAATATAACATAGATATTAGTATATTTCTCTGACTGACAGGCATACTATGAATGTTTGCGCTCTGAGATGAAGGAAAACAACATCAATGTTACAGTTGTTTGTCCTGGTCCAGTGTTCTCTAATCTCTTTAAATTTGCAGCTACTGGTAAATACCACCAGGTGGGTTTTCATAGTCAGGCTCTCATGTTTTTGTTTGTTAGCTCTGTCAGGCTCTCATGTTTTCGTTTGTTAGTTATGTCAAGATTCATCATGTTTTTGTTTGTTACTTCAGTCAGGATTCATCATGTTCTTATGTAGATATTTACTTCAGTCAGGATTTATCAGGTTTTTGTTTGTTACTTTAGTCAGGACTCATCTTGTCCTTATGTAGATGTTTGTTACTTTAGTCAGAATTCATCATGTTCTTATGTAGATGTTTGTTACTTTAGTCAGGATTCATCATGTTCTTATGTAGATGTTTGTTACTTCAGTCAGGATTCATCATGTTCTTATGTAGATGTTTGTTACTTTAGTCAGGATTCATCATGTTCTTATGTAGATGTTTGTTACTTCAGTCAGGATTTATCATATGTTTGTTACTTCAGTCAGGATTCATTATGTTCTTATGTAGATGTTTGTTACTTCAGTTAGGATTCATCATATGTTTGTTACTTCATTTAAAATTTATTTTTTTTAAACAAAATGATAAAGAAAAAAAGGTCTAAAAGAGAGTACACTACAGGAAGTTTGCAAATATTATTCTTTGCTGACACAGATGCTGGGTAGAGAAATGAGTAAAACAGAAAAGAGAATGACCACTGATAAATGTGCCCAGTACATTGTGTCAGCCACTGTGAATCAGCTGTATGAAGCCTGGGTCAGCCAGCATCCCTGGCTGGTTTTGTTGTATTTTCAACAGTATTTTCCTGATTTCACTCGATGGTCAGTACACATTGATTACATTAATACTTACAGATGGTCTGTACACATTGATTACATTAATACTTACAGATGGTCGGTACACATTGATTACATTAATACTTACAGATGGTCTGTACACAGATTACATTAATACTTACAGATGGTCTATACACATTGATTACATTAATACTTACAGATGATCTGTACACATTGATTACATTAATACTTACAGATGGTCTGTACACATTGATTACATTAATACTTGCAGATGGTCTGTACACATTGATTACATTAATACTTACAGATGGTCTGTACACAGATTACATTAATACTTACAGATGGTCTATACACATTGATTACATTAATACTTACAGATGATCTGTACACATTGATTACATTACTAGTTACAGATGGTCTGTACACATTGATTACATTCCTAGTTACAGATGGTCTATACACATTGATTACATTACTATTAAAGGTGGGCTGTACACATTGATTACTTTACAACTAAAAGTGGGCTGTACACATTGATTACTTTACTAATAAAGGTGGTCTATACACATTAATTACATCATTAAATTAATCATTGGTTTCTTAATAATTCTATCTTGTTTGGTGGGAAAATTTTTATTTGGTGCAAGCAATTTATTTCAAGCATAACTTAAATTTCTATTATGTGTATTACACTTACTATGTACATTTAATTTAGCATTTAGTATTTTCAAATTTTTTTCTTTTCTTTTTGAACAGGTTACTGCTTAAATTTGGAACAACTTACTTGATGAAGATGAGAGAGGGTAACTAAACATGTACTCAGACTAGATAGAATCAAGTAAACAGAAAGCAGTTGAGCTAGTCAAGATGAGGAATGTTCTGTACATTTTAATCAGTCAAGGAGGTTCACATGCAAAATGCTTTCAATCCTACCTTTTTATTCATATATAAATGGCTTATAATTACATAATTCTAATGTAAAAAATACAGGATTATGTCTTATACACATATAAAAGATTATGAGATTTCTACCCAAAGCCCTACTCCAAATAACACCACCCCATTCCTATGCACTGATTCTTTATGTAAAGTAAAATCAGTTTGAAAAACCCATGTATCCAGTTAATTTTTCCCTAACATTTTGAAAAGGAAACAAGCACTTGCTAAAAGATGTTTTGCTAATGAAATCTGTTCCTTTAAATTTTCACTCCTGCTTATATCATCAATCAGTCATCCCGCAAACATAGGGTGTTGTCTGTTAGGACACCCCAGGTGGCTTTTTCATAACTCTTTACCATCATATTTGGTCTTCTGAGACTTTTAGTAATCCTACATTGGGCAGCCCATTCCATTCCTCTTTTATAAAGAGGGAAACATTTTGCAGCTCTATCTATGCTAATAGATCTCCTACACCCACAACAAGCAAATATTGTTACCCATTGACCTAACTTTCTTAAGTCCTCAGCAAGCATCTTTGACATATCAATTTTTTCATCATATTCAAGTGTTTGGCGGTCTACTGTGAGGCAAAAGGAAATTACTAAGATCTGTAATTTTTGTCATTTATGATAGATAACTGTTTAAAAAAAAACATTAAAAAAAATGTAAGAAGTGTTGCCAAAAACAGTTATATTATACAGAACATCTGACAAGATAAGAGTGAAAAAAATTTACTTTATTGTTATAATACTTGTATGTTATTGAAAGATATTCTTTCAATTAGTATTCAATATCAGATTTATTGAAATGAAGATATTCTTAGTTTGATGTCTGATGTGTAGAGGAAGATGTTCTTTTAATTTCAGGTTGTGTTTTAAAGATATTAAAAGAAGTTTTTTAAATTTATGTAAAAAAATCAACATTGAAAGTAATATATTTTTCAAAACAATGTCTTAACAAATATTAAAAAGTTTCAGAGATTTAAAAAATGCCTCAATTCTACAACAAATAGAGCTCTTAAAGCATAATAGATTCTACACAGATTCAGACAAGGAGAATAAAAAAAACTAAAAGAATTGCACAACTAGTCAGAATGATAATCTGCGGAACCCCTATTGTTGAAACATAATTTTTTTTTTTGATGATCGTTTAAATACCATAATATTTTATACTATACTTGTATTATACACTTGCAGGCTTTGTTTTCAATACTTATAGCTAGGAAATAATGCTTTATTAAAATATTGTAATGTCAAAAAAGTGTACTTAGAGCGCTAGTGTTTCTTTTATAGATGTTTTTTTTTTATTGTGTAAAAATGTACAATTTTTAAATACTTACTATTGTAATTATGGTATAAGTATAATGGCATGTGTGTTAAACAATGCAAAAAAAAAAAATCAATCTAAATAAAAACTTAAAATCTTTGATTTTGTTGCATTTTCAAAAAGTTCTTGTTACTTTCTTCCCATTTAACCCTCATGAGATGGAGCGTTTTTATAGTTAAAGTGCCAAAAAAGACAGAGCTTATTTTACAAGCCTGTAACCTGTATTACAACAAAAAATGTAACAAACTAATAATTGTAAATATATAAAACTATGTATTCTGAGAGGAAATTGAGAGAACTAGAACAAACTTCGTGTATTAAACTCAAATTTCAACTTTTATTTAGATTAGGCATCCTTATTTGCATAATGTATGCATACAAGAATAAAGAATAACAACAAAATTAATTAAACTAAAGAAAGTGTGTGAATTAGTATCTATAGGAGGCCTCAATATGACCTAACATGGAGACCTTGCAAACATCTCTGGCACATGGTTCTACTTCTTTTCCTCCCCCGGGTATTTTCCAATTACTACAAATTGAGCAGTCCTTTTCTCCATTGTTTGGCACAGGGCACACTCCTGCACCTGTAGCAGCTTCTACATATTCTTTATCTAGTTGACCCTTAGCAAGAACTTCTACAACCAAGGTGTTAAACTTGTATCTGTCCATAGCTCTGCCTGTTTTACAAAATGTACGCGTTAAGAAGCATCCGAGACAAATATTGAATGTTACTTTTTTCCAGTACTTGATGGTTCTCCTCTCATCCAGGTAGAAGTAAAGCATTATATCTGTTTGATCCACTACACCCATATATTTGTTGTAATCAAGAACAGTCAGTGGTTTTTTGGTAGTGACCTGCCCATCTCCACCTTGTGGTAGGCCCCACCTGCCCATCACCACTTTGTGGTAGGCGCCTCCTACGAGTCGGAACGTCCATAGTGCCTGCTGGATTTTTGGTTGATAGCAATAGCACTGAGTTTTTTTCCTGTAACCAGTGTTTCACCTTGCCTAATTGTGACTGTTTCTTCAGGCTGTAATTTTGCCTCCAAGCCTTTTGGAAATTCTTTCCTGTTACGTCGGACAGTGCCTGTAATGTGAGTCTGTTCTGCCAATTCACTAACAAGTGGAATGCTCGTAAAAAAATTATCCACAAAGAGATGGTAGCCTTTTCCCAGATACGAGCCCATTCTCAGCAATCTCATTACAAATTTGTGGGCAAGCCCTTCTTCCATCTCACTTTCGCCAATAAGAACATTATCTCTTTTGCCTTTGTAGATAAAAAATCCAAGCAGGTATGCCGAGACGGTGACAGGACAAATGATCTCAGGACAAATGATCTCAGACAAAATATCTCACGGACAAATGATCTCAAGACAAATGATCTCAGGACAAATGATCTCAACGACAAATGATCTCACGGACAAAAGATACCAGGACAAAATATATCAAGACAAATGATACCACGGACAATTGATCTCAGACAAAATATCTCAGACAAAATATCTCACACCTAAATGTTAATAGTGTATTGGATACTTTCACTTGATCTGAATTTTTTTATTGACTTTCATATGGTTCTGTTTACTATGTTTAATATTGTTTATAGGCCTATATATTAATTGTAAGAAATGTTTGCCGTATAAATTTGTCATATTGCACTAAACATTTTAAGGTTAGTATTAGTAATATAGTATACCAAGATTAAATAAATAATTTCGAAAGACAGCGTATGTGTGCTTGACAAACGTGAGACAATCCTACCACGTCAGGTGGACGAAACTAGATAAAAGAGGATGGAATAACAACAAAGACACACCTTCGTATCAAAATGGCCGCCCGCTTTCCTTAAGAGAAAGACATCCGCCCTCCATGGACAATACGACTAGCATATAACGTCCGTTGTTATGCGTCGGTCACACCATAGTGATCAGGTAACTAATGCTTATTTAAATGACAGCGGTCATCGCGGAGCTAAGTATGTCGTAGTGTGCATCAAACAAAGCAGTATTAATTGTGATTGCTTTGCTATGGTCTCTTTCGTTACCTCGCAGAAAGGTATTAGGACATTTGTTTCTGGTGAATTTATGTTTGCCATAAGCAGGCAAAGAGATTTGGAAATGTGAAATTAGGACATGTCGAGCAAGAGTTCACACAATAGATGACCACATAGTCGTGGAGACGTGTGATCATAACGATGTACCTACCAGAAAAGAAACTGACACGTTATGTTTGTGTTGATGATGTAATAAAAACAATAGTTTAACGTTACGAACCTTCAGACTCATTGACAATTTTTAAAAAATATTTCGCGTGATATGAACATTAATGTTGTATAGCTACCGTTACTTTATTTGTTTTATACATTATCATTTATTATACCTTTCAGGCTAAAAGAGTAAGTTTGTTTTAATTTTTACTTTTTCAAGTCAAATGCTACTACAATTGCTTAGTACACCTTTTGATGGTTTGTTAGGTTTCACTAATTCACAATTATTATACGTAAAGAAAGTAAACAAAACCATATTAACAGTCAATAAAAAATTTCAACTAAAATCATCGTAAATACTATTAAAATTTCGCTGTAAGATATTTTGTCTGAGATATTTTGTCTGAGATCATTTGTCCATGATATCATTTGTCCTGATATATTTTGTCCTGGTATCTTTTGTCCGTGAGATCATTTGTCCTTGAGATCATTTGTCCTGAGATCATTTGTCCTGAGATCATTTGTCCGTGAGATATTTTGTCTGAGATATTTTGTCTGAGATCATTTGTCCTGAGATCATTTGTCATGGAACCGCCGAGACTGAGTCACACATCATATACAGTTTTATTCCCCATTGTTTGGGAGATACAGTATCAGTTGTGTCTTGCTCTTGGTCCCTATTAGACTTACATCAATGCACATTTCCTTGTGTGGCTGGTATTACTGCCTTGATGTCTGATTGGCATGCTCAACCAGAAGATCAAAAAGTGCACACAGGTCATACCAATCTTGACCGGGTTTTGGCAAATGTGAGCTGTCCACCATATGGAAAATTTTAAATCGGCTCAAATCTATCCATATTCATTACTTGGGCAAACCAGGGTGTTCTTTGTGAGCTAGATTTGCTCCAATAAGATTTTATTGTAGGCTTACTAAGCCCATGTTCAAAATAATAGCTGCATATTTGTTTCCCATACAAAGATTTGAATTAGATTTGGGGTAAAAAATAGAATAAAATACTGATCTAGGGTGCTAGTGTGCAATGCAAAGGAATATATCTGGGACCTTCTGTTTCTAAAAAATCATATGGATCTTTCCTTTTATAACTAATTTTGAACAACGATTGGCATTAACAGACTCTACACTATCTTCTAATTGGGAAGAGGGCATTACCCCTAGAGTAGTGGGTAGACAGATCGGCCGTCCCATCTCAGGAGAGTTAATAAACACATAGCAGACAAAATAGATCGGGACTAGTTGGCTGTTGTCTTGACCAATTATTATTTTAACTAAAAAAAATTGTTAATAATTAAAATTCACATTTTTAAGATGAATTATATAAACAATGAAACGTTAATTCTTTGTCTTCCACTTCGCCTCCCGTATACTGAGTACATTGTGTGGCAAACACTAAGCGTTAATTGTTATAACCTGACTAATACAGTTGTAGAATTTTCTGGATAAAACTAATAAATATATAATCTAACAATGAACATGAAATTTTGTAAATAAACAAAAATTAGGCTTGATCTTTTTTTTGTGGTGGACATCATTACCAAGGTTTAAGTTTTTAAAAATAGGACATATGACACCCCAGATAACTAGCGTTTAGTTTTAGCTGCACCATTAATGGACACACATGATCTGCAACCATTAGTTATACAATCCATAGTATTCAAGCAATACCAATCACATATGAAATATTTAATCTTTCTTTATTAATGTAATAAACATTTAATTTTATACAAATAATCGGTCTTCATTTTACAAGCCTTACACAGCGTGTTGATCTCTCAATTCAGGAAATAATTTAGAATAAGCATTATTTCATTATCTACATTATTTACATCTTAATAAATATTTAAAATTACAATACATTTCATCAATGACATTTCAACAAACTGGCAGAAACTACAACACATTGTGTAACACATTGTAACAACAATTTAGACAAATAGTAACCTTATTTTTCTTTCTTAAATTTTCTTGCAATACGTATCAGTGAAACTTTGAGAGCAGGCCACAACAACGTAATGTTTTTCCTGTACCATTCCCTGAAAAAATAATTACAACAGTTATATTAATAAATTCAAGCTACATTGCATATGATATCGTGTATTGTATTGATATTCAGGAATGCTTACTTGTTATAATTTAGATGTGTGATCCTATTTTTATCTAGAAAAGCTTTGTAAAATGGGGATAACTCTTCTTGGGTCACATTTTTATTGCTGTCAGCACTAAGCTCTTTCAGAGATTGAACATATTCTTCTTTTTCCTATCAGTACAAAAAATATGTCATCATAACACACTATTATTAATAAAAAATTTAATCTATAATCAATGGGGTCCAAGTTAATATTCGAGACAATTTTCGAAAATGCATCAAAGCTATTTAACCTACCTTGAAAAATCTTGAGTTATGATCTGCCCAAAACTGTTGATTCCACTCTAAGACCTCTGCTCTTCTTATTCGAAACTTTTTCTCTGTAAGTGTTTCATTTGGATGAACATAAAAACGAATTGGTCTGATATTTGAAATGGGATCTGGAGGTCCTATCCAGTCAGTGGTGCCCCCACTTGGTGGTACTGGAGTTATCCTTAATTTTTTAACCTGATACATTAACAAAAGAAAAATAGAGTTTAAGAAAAATATATTAGGTCCTAGTAACATTAAAATTAGGCCTATACTAATTTGTAAGCCAATAATTAAATTGTTAAATAAGGCCTATTATTTAGTATTAATATTATCATCAGGGGTCTTGGCAAAATGCAAGTAGCAAAATGTGAAATAGTGAGGCGGTAAAAAGCGACATAATTTGCAAGACATTTTTTTTGGATTCATGCTCATTGGTTTGTTTAGAGATGTGTGAGAAGAAAAGTTTATAATTAAACAAGTAGGCCTATAGATTAATCACGAGTGTTGTAAGACTATGTTTTTAAAAATCTAGATCTAGATGAAAAATTATTCTAAATTGGCCAATTCTAAATGACCTTGCTCCAATGATCGCCCGCTCATGTTTTCTTGTTAGAGAAATATTCCCGTACAGTTTAGGGGTCTCTGTAAGTTCATATTGGTTTAGAAATCAGCAGCCCTATATAGTTATAGCATACAAATATTTATATTTACATAATATCAATGCATAATTAATAGCAAGTTAACATTGTGATTGACGATTGATATAAGAATGTCAGTGATGTCACTTTAATTTTTTCCCAAACCAAGTAATACAATAAAAGTACTTGGGGTCATTGTGAGTTCATTTGATTTAAGCTTGTAGGCCTTCTACTGTGCATTTGAGATGAATGTTAGAAAACTTAGATTTAAGTTTAAGTGAACATTAGTAGATCTAGTAGTAGTAGAGAAAAAAAATTTAATATTGGCCAACATTTTATTGAATTGTAGTAAGTTAGACTACTCTAACAGTTAGAGTTAGTAGTTGTAGCTAGCTCAAGCTAGACTCTAGTTAACTCTAGTACTTAGTACTTTTAGTTAGTAGTACTAGAGATCTAGATCTAGGGTAAAACTCCATTTTAGCGTATTTTATTTCTCCGCTGCTTGTTTACCTCCAGTTGAGCGTATTTTATTATAACAACCGAAACAACCAAAACACACCAAAACACGATTCATTTATTTGTATTGTATTTTTGTTTTAACAAATTAATAAAAATGAATAAAAAAACAAAGAGACTGACTTTGTTTTAGATTTTGATAATTTAGTTTTGTTAAAACTTGAGAAAAATCCAAACTTAAAATATTGAATGTGCAATGTTCGTGTGTCAGAATTTTCATGGCAATGGGTGAAGTACGTAAACGTAGCTCACAATTGCAAGGCAGTTAAGTTTGAATTGTTACAAGTATCTCCCAGGCATGATACTATAAATAAACATTAATGAACTTACAATGACCCCAAAACTGAGGCCAACACAATTTCAAATAGCGATTGCCCGAGCTATGACGTATGCTGGTAATTCAATGTCAATGTGAACTCACGGTGAACCCGCGACCGTGTAAGGATTTTTCTCCCGCTGACGATTATACGAGATTCGATATTTAATTGGAACAGTTCTAATGCTTTTTATGTTTTTTTTTACCTTTTCTAATTAAAAATCACATTCATTAAAAAAAATAAGTTAAGTAGATCTAGATCTAGTGTTTTCCTGACGTTTTTGTGTGTTTCGGTTGTGTTTATAATAAAATACGCTCAACTGGAGGTGAACGTGAAGCGGGGAATAAAATACGCTAAAATGGAGTTTTACCTAGATTCTAGATCTAGATCTAGATCTAGATTAAAAACTAGATTTAGATCTAGTGAGTATCGTGCACTAGACTAGTAGGGTGACTAGTGTCTAGAGTCTAGATCTAGACTCAGTACTCGTGATCTATAACCATAACTATTTGTAACTAACATCATTCTTGCCCGTTGAAAGGAACAGTAAATGTTTAATTCCATTTCGTGTCTTTAACTGTTTGAAGTAACAGTGAGGTCTAAACATGATGGAGGAGGTAGATTCTAGATCTAGATCTAGTAAAATACACAGGTTTAGGACTAATCTAAGGTAAGCTACTCTAGCAAGCTTTTTTTTTGTTTCAGTTAAGATTTTTTGGCGAGGTTAAGCTAAAACGGGTTGCTGGTTTAAGATTTAATTTTAGAATAAAAATTAAAGCTAAATAATGTAAACAAGAATAACAGTCAAGAAGTAGTTTGTCTTTATTATTGAGATATATAGATCTAGGTTTTCTAGATTTAGCTAGATATCTAGCTAGATATTATTAGATAATCTATGTTAACGCAATATGTAGTACGGTGGTTTAGCCGAGGTTGTAAGTTTTATTTTAAACTGCTTTGACTGTTGTAGATTAGTAGAATTAGTACACCATTTTATTAGTATTAGAATCCAAACACTTGAAGAAATAGATTGAGATCTAGAGTCTAGATTTAGCTACATCTAGATCTAGTGATCCTAGTAAATAATAACCGGCATAGTCATAGGTACTAATAATAGGTAGTCATAGGATAATGTATGAATAATATTCATTGAATATGAAACATTTAGAAGTTTAGACTTTAGACACTTAACTTACTCTTGTTTTAGTTAGTCTAGTCTAGGACAACTAGTACTACTAAACTAAAGTACTAGATTCTAGGTCTAGTACTACGTACTACGGGTAATCTATCGTTTTGGGTACGTAAAATCGCCCGCAACTTGCAATGTGAAAACCAGGTGACTCCTTAAATTTTAATAATTATTTCACATTTTGAGGAGGATTTATGTTTTTTAAAATACAAAAATGTTTCCTTGTTTCATTTATGTACCTGTTTTTAAACAATTGAATTAAAACTTTTCCGTAATAAATGAAGACTAGCAATGTTTCCAACAGATGCAACCATGCTCATTTACTATAGCAGCCATCTTGTTTAAGTTTTATTTTTATAAGCTTTTAGCAGGAGATTCAGGGGGAGCCACTCTATTTTACAAATGGCTGCTGTTTAATGTTTATATAGCAAATCTTGCTCTCAGACACTGCTGTTTAGAGTTAATTTCTGGCCTATATCGATATATTTAGCCATTGATTTAAGTTTATTATTCATTTATCTATAATATTTGACACAAACATATGACAATATACACCTATTAAAGCCTTGACAATGAGGTAACGTTTTCGTACATTAATAGCCGCGGGCGATTTTACGTACTCAAAACGATAGATTACCCGTACTACGTACTAGTGTCCTCCTAGGTACTAGGTAGGACTGATGACTGAGTAGACTAAAACTCCTCTAGACCTAGGCTAAGTTTAAGTTGTTTTTTTAATTAAAATATAATAATATATTATATGGTCAAGTCGGTAAAGCTCATGGTTGCTAGATCTAGATCTAATATCTAGTTCGAACCCTCTGACACATGATTCTCGTTAGTTGGGGACAATCACTCTTCTAGTAGAGACAGCACCAAAATCAGACAAACTACTGCCTTGTTTGTTCTTGGTCGGACAAAGGCTATGGAAAAGCAAATCCAAAAAGAAAAGCAGGCTGAAATTGGAGTCAATGGCCTCAATGGCGCATAACCAGTTGACATGTATAATGTATATACTTAATTGTGTTGTAGGGGATCCCTTCCAACACTAAAATTAAGAACGAAGAAGAAGAAAGAAGGATTCTTATTGCAAGGTTCTTCTATACTGCACTACTCTAGTTGTCAAAAAGAAATTTGCCTTGTGCCTTGAAAATAAAATGTTGTCCTTGGATGTGCAAATACTTATTCATCTTTAAAAAAAAATCTTAACTTAATTGCATTACTAAGATATTAATTCTTTAACTTCAATACAAAACATTATACAAGTGTAACTGGTACCCAAACTATTTCATGTCAATTTCTTCTAAGATTGATGTTAGTTTTTGAATAAACTATTATTTTCATTCCTGAACAGAATTGGTTGGTTCAGCATGAAGTCCATGCTCCAAGATATTTCTTGATGCGACTATGGCACCTTCATCTTTAAGCACTTTGCCATCCTGGAGGAGAGCAATTACTACAATTCCTGAGATCTACTGTACTGAAAGATGTGGGCACAATGCTCTTTGTATTAAGGAAGAACTTATCATTTGGGGTGGCTATAATGTTAGTATACTTTTATTCTAACTATAATAAATAGAAATATTTAACTAATTTGGTTTGAATATAGGCTTCTACTTTGTATTAAGGAAGAACATCATTTGGGGTGGCTATAATGTTAGTATACTTTTATTCTAGCTATAAACTAAAACTATTTAACTAATTTGGTTTGAATATAGGCTTCTACTTTGTATAACTTACTTAACTTAATCCTTGCACTCTCTGTGGAGTTTTGTAAATACATAGTCTTTCCACTGATACCCTGATAAAATTCCCAAAACTTTCAACCGTCTGTATTGGCCATTAGGATCAGCTGTTTACATCTACAGCAATTTAGTAGTGTCTAAAGGGTGTGGGGAAATTGCGAGACGCGAAAAGCGAAATGGCGAGGCGGGAAAATGCGAGAAGGTAATGCGAGACATACCTGCGGAATTAAGGGTAAATAGCGAGACACTTTTTGCGAAAAAAGTTTTTTCCTTTTTTTTTCCATCTTTATTTATTTAAATTATTTTTTTTGTTTTAAAATAAACAAGCATTTAGCCATACCCTTTAACACGAGTGTTGTATGTTGTTATTTTTTATCTAGATACTAAGAAGATAGATAGATCTAGATCTATCTATTTAAAAATCCTACCATCGTTGCTGTGCTACTGTCATCGCCCTCTCTTGTTAGCGAGAGGAAAATCCCGTCTCAGTCGGCATTAATTTAAAAATCTAGCCCGCTCATGTTTATACAAACGTGAGCTGTGTCATTGTGAATTGGTATAATCTTGTCAGCAGGAGAGATATTTTGCAACATCTATTTATGGATTTTTGTACTTGCAAAAAGTGTAAAAGTATAAACAATTCTAAAAGTGCAATTTTTTTTTTTAAGTAATTTTAATTACAAACAAAATTTACAAACAAAATCTTCTGAAACAGTCCTCAAACACACCTCGTGACACCATCTTTCACACATAGTACACCCAACCCACTTTATTGGACTCCCATTTATACATTTTTCTTTTGCTACTTCTTCAAATCCACATTCACAACATTTCACATTCTCATCACAGTTGACCTCGTTCATCCCACAAACAACACTGGCACCCATGTTCTCATCATCATCATCCGCACGCTCAACATCTGTTTTCCGTTTTTTATAATTTGTATTTTTTATCATTTCTGTAATTTTGGCAATGTCTTGCTCATTGTTGTCACCAGCAGTTGAGTTTTTTTTAAAACATCGATATTTTCCCAAAATCTTGTCTAATTTCGGTCAAAGTAGAGTATTTTAATCAATTCCTATTACAATGTATTAAAACAGTTTTCTAAAACGCGAAAAAACGTCTAAAATTCTTTTTCTAACATTGCTTTTTTATAGTGTGACTTCACATCTAACCCCCCCTCCTCCCCCTCATCACACATCGTCATAAAATTACAGACCCCCCTCCCCTACGAGTGTGACGTCATTTATGGAAGACCCCAAATAACACCACCACCAAAACCAAAAAATTCAGATAAGTTCAACTTGGTTTTAAAAATATTTGAAGTAGGCCCATAGCTTACGATATAGCACGAGCAACTGATAATATCGGTGACGTCACTTTATTTTGTTGTATCCAAATGATGTAGGCATTTCCTTGTGCTTAGATTTATATGGTAAAAAAAGCTAGAAAAAAATCGTAGGCGGCGGCTATAATACAAAATTTCTATGCAACAATAGAAAATATGTCTGCGGCGGCAGCGGATCCGGGCACGGCGATCTTCAAAGACGGTAAATCAGGCGGCCTCGGCGTTCCACACAAAAGACAGAAGTTGATCTATCGTCGGCGGTATTTCCGTCGGTTTCGAACATGGTGGTATTCTAAGTCGACACAAAAGGTGGGGGAAGTTGACAAATCATCAGTATGTCTAGCGACGGAAAAATCGGAAGTTTTAACAATGTAAACGAAACGTCTTTGAAGTCTGGACCAAATACCACTGAAAATCGGGTGCGGTAAATTTTTCGCACAAATCTTCGCATTTCAACACTACCCAGCGTAAGTATCGGCTTGTGGTAAAATGCGAGACAAAAAAGTCACGTGACCGACCGTTTTCGCGCCCTTCTCGCATTTTCCCGCCTCGCCATTTCGCTTTTCGCGTCTCGCAATTTCCCCACACCCGTGTCTAAAAGCTCTCAAAAAGTTCCACTGTTTATATTTAAGACTAAGATTGGACCTGTTTCTTTTGTTATTTTACAGGATTCCCCTGATGGCTCGATGTACTGTGATAACATTGTGCTTTGGAATTACAATTTGGATTTTGACAAATGGTATATGTGCTTCAAATGATGAGTTACATCTGTTATGTAGATTTTTCTTATATGCTATCTTAGATTTGAAGATGAAATTGCGCAATTTAATCATTGTATAATCACCAAAGACATATTCACAAGCTAAGCTTTAAATCGCTGGTAGTTTATGTAAGATTTTTTTTCCCGCTTTTTAAATCCTAAGAAGTGATATGGTTATTTTCTTTTATAAAGTATTTCATTCTTTGCTAGCAGTTTTTAAAAACCAGTTGAACTGTTCTTCAGGGCATGTTTCCTGACATGTGGGAACATGCCTGATTATAGATCTGGGGCATGCAGTGCTTGCATCTGGCCTTACTGGTACATCTTCTGTGGACACACCCATGCAGGAGATGTCAATGACATATACAGGATCAACCTGCTGACTCTATTCTGGGAACGTTTGAAAACATTAGGAACAGATTTGTCCCCTCGAGACAAAGCTTCCTCTTGGGTGTATCACAACAGGTCTGGTATGGCTTAGTTTTTGCTAAACAAGCTTAGAATTTTATTCACCTTCTAAGTTGAATAAAATAACTGGTTTCATAGTCTGATAGGCTATTGGAAAATTGCGCTTGGAAATCAAGGCGCAAGACCTGGGCAGTAAGTTGCGAAGAGCCAGATGTTGCCCATGTATCAGGCCCCCTCTCTCCACACAGCTGATGTTCTCAAGGGAGAGGCATTACCTATACAACTTAGGTTGAATTAATTTAAATATTGTTTACAAAATAGAACATTATTGCAAGATAACAGGCAGTTTGTAGCAGTTGTGAACTAAACATAAGCATTGAGGTCCATATAGCTTATCATTGGAAAATCCCATGCTGTTTCAAGTTGTTTACAAAGTAGCACACCATTGTAACACATAGGATGAATAGCTCTAGTCGTTTTCACTGTAATGAAAGGGTTTCAGAAGCAGACATACAAGTCTAATCTGGTTATACTGTTCAGTCTTTACAGTAACTAGCTGTCCTCTGTCATTACATTAACGATCTGTCCTCCATCTTTACAGTAACTAGATGTCCTCTGTCTTTACAGTAACTAGCTGTCCACCGTTTCTACACTAACTAGATGTTCGTTCCATTGTTTAGTTAGGGCATTGAAATGACACTTTATGACCAATATTGCTTTTACTGGTCTTGACCAAACAGTGGCATTAATTTCTTTTAGAATTTAATTATTTGTTTAATTTATTTACTCTTGAAAGATTATTATTTATAAAATGGCTCCGTACTGTAAAAATGGCAGAAGTACTCAAGATATTGTCTTAACTAAATATTTCTTTCTGTACAGAATTTACATCTTTGGTGGATATGGCACAACTCCTTATACATATCTGTGGGATAAAGAAGAAGATAAGTTTGCCTTAGAAGTCATGGTAGGTGAATATTTTACCAATTGTCAATTACATTTAATTTTCAAACTGATTGAATATAACATTCTTTAAAAATAAATTTAAAAAAAAGTCTTTTTAGCAAGTGTTATTTTTTTTCCCATGCATTTGGCTACAGAATGATCGAGGATGGAATAATCAAGTATTATATTTTGACATTGAAGGACGCAGATGGGTGAGGGTGTCTTGTAAGGTAATGGTTTTTATCTCACGCATATACCAGACATTTATAGTTTTTCATGAGTCTTTTCTCATTGTCATTTAACTTTGAAAAGAAAACCTGTGTAAACATTCACATAATAGTATTTCATTGATGCCATCTACCTGTAGAGAGAAAATATGTGATAAATATTTTCAGGGCTCTAAGCCAAGGGCAAGGGCCGCACAGTCCACTGTCCTTGTGGGGAAAACTGTCTACCTGTTTGGTGGGCGTCATCAAGCCCTCAGGTTAAATGACTTGTATTGTCTCGACATGGAATCTCTCACTTGGAGTGGAAGGTAATTAAAATGTTATGAAAAATTTAGAACAATGTTCTGGGTCGTCTATAAATGACATCTCAATCCAAGGGAAGAATAGGGGTTTGGACTCTTGTTTTTAGAAATGCATAGTTAGGAACTGAAGTTATATAAATGACACCACAATTCAAGGGAAGAATAGGGGTTTGGACTCTTGTTTTTAGAAATGCATAGTTAGGAACTACAGTTTAGCAGTTTTTTTTTGGCATTTTAAAAAGACATTTTGTAAATGGCAATAAAAATTGATCAATATAGCGAATATTGACTTAGCTCAGTAAAAACCTTCTTAAAAAGCCTGACATTGTTTATGGATGTTCCCTTTATAGTTTATAAAAACATTAAAATGCTGATTGTTTGAGGCAGGTATTCTCATTTCAGTGTGCTTGCTCCTCCCATTTCAGGCTGCTTGCTCCTCCCTCTGAATTCTACTAGCTCCTTCCACTTCATTATGCTAGCTCCTTCCTCTGAATTCTACTAGCTCCTCCCATTTCAGGCTGCTTTCTCCTCCCACTTCATTCTGCTCACTCCTCCCATTTCAGGCTGCTTGCTTCTCCCTCTGAATTCTACTAGCTCCTCCCATTTCAGGCTGCTTGCTCCTCCCATTTCAGGCTGCTTGCTTCTCCCTCTGAATTCTACTAGCTCCTCCCATTTCAGGCTGCTTGCTCCTCCCTCTTAACTCTACTAGCTCCTCCCATTTCAGGCTGCTTGCTCCTCCCTCTTAACTCTACTAGCTCCTCCCATTTCAGGCTGCTTGCTCCTCCCTCTTAACTCTACTAGCTCCTCCCATTTCAGGCTGCTTGCTCCTCCCTCTTAACTCTACTAGCTCCTCCCATTTCAGGCTGCTTGCTCCCTCTTAACTCTACTAGCTCCTTCCATTTCATTTGCCAGCCACTAACAATATTTTCGTAGGTTTAAGAGATTTTTAGATGGGATGTAATTTAGCTAATAATTTTACCAATGTACATCTGTATTTGTTTGATTCAGCATCTCCTGCTCTGGCCCTGTACCTGAAGCCAGGTCCTGGCACACAATGTCCAACATTGGCAAAAGTCAGCTCATCCTGTATGGGGGCTTTAACAATGGCAACCAACCACTGGGTATGCTAGTCTTGTAATGGCTTTAGTTTCATCATTACATTTTGTTGCAAATAGCTAGAAATATTATATTGCTCTGACGTGGCATTTTTTTTCTCAGATGATGTATGGCTTTTAAATGTGGCCAGTTTTTCCTGGACACTTTTGAAGCAAAGCACAGGTTTCCCTCGCCTTTGGCATACAGCTTCAGTGAATTCTTATGGGGACCTACTCATTTTTGGAGGCTGCAGCAGTAACATTGTGGATAATGTACAGCCTCTGGTTAGTCTTAAATATAGCCAAGTTTAGCATCATAGCAGTAACTTAAATATAGCTTAGTGTAGCACCATAGCAGTAACATTGTGTACAGCCAATGGTTAGTCTTAAATATAGCTTAGTGTAGCACCATAGCAGTAACATTGTGTACAGCCTCTGGCTAGTCTTAAATATAGCTTAGTGTAGCACCATAGCAGTAACATTGTGTACAGCCAATGGTTAGTCTTAAATATAGCTTAGTGTAGCACCATAGCAGTAACATTGTGTACAGCCAATGGTTAGTCTTAAATATAGCTTAGTGTAGCACCATAGCAGTAACATTGTGTACAGCCAATGGTTAGTCTTAAATATAGCTTAGTGTAGCACCATAGCAGTAGCATTGTGTACAGCCTCTGGCTAGTCTTAAATATAGATTAGTGTAGTGTCATAGCAGTAAAATTGTGGATGACGTACAGCCACTGATTATATATAGAGTAGTTTATATCTCGTAATGAGCATCATATTTAATTTTTAGCTGAATAAATTAAATTTTCACTGAAAAAATACTTCATTTACGACTAGGCACCAAATGGGTGAAAAAATAATTTGACTCTGTTGTTTTGTGACTTAGGTTACAAGCGATCTAGTCATTCTACTGAGAGTTGAACCCTTTTCCTTAGAAAGGTAAATATGAGTTTTTATTAAATATTTTTATGGTGTCTTTCAATTGATCAATAACAATATTGTTATCACTAATTGTATAGTGTAGTAATTAATAGTTAAATCTATTCCTTTTGTTTATGAAAACTGAATGCTCTTTATGTTCTCCCAGGCTGTGTATTCATGCCCTCTACAAATCTAAAGACATTACCAAAGAGTCATGGGAAACATTACCAACATCTCTACAAGAATGGTTGCGCCAGAGAACAAATGAGTCAGACTCCTACACTCCCTCCTACTACAAGAACAATGTTGTCTCTTGCTGTGGACCAGGGATTTCCCAGCTTGCTTTGTTAACTGAAACAGAAGCTCACAAACTCAATGATAACAAAAGGTACATTTAAGGTACATTTATGAAAATAATGTTTGAAGATAGAAAAGAATAATAACAAAATAATGGATCAAACCAGCAACTCTCACTTCATTTTGTTCTTTTTATAGTTTTTAATTTTTTTTTTCATTTTTATTGATTTTTCATTTCTTTCTATAGCTCTAATTTAATTTATTTATTTAGCTTTTTTGTATGGTTTTAATAATTTTTTTTCATTTTTTTTCCTTTTTTTGTGTGTGTATATTTTAAGTGTCTATTTTTCATTTTAAAAAAATTTTAGTTTGTTTACTTTTTAGTTTGTTTATTACTCTTTTTATCTCTTTAATTTTCTTTTTCTTATTTATGTTTCTTACACATTGTTTGTTTATATTTATTTTTATTTTGTTTCTTTGTTTGTGTTTGCTTGTTTTTCATTTTTTAAAAACTGGCTTCAAACTATAATTTTTACTCTACAGATTACAAGGTTGTGTTGCCTTCTAACTTATATCAAAACAGATTTTATATGGGACAAAATATACCAAGACAATATTTGAGGTGATTTCAGGATAAAGTATCCTTGTACAACACTTGATGACCAGATATTTTTCCTCAGAACTATACATCTGATTGGTTAAAATTAAATTGGTTAAAATTAAATTAAAATGAAAGGAAGCTGATTGTAGATCATTTGTACTTGTGTGTAGTGGGCTAATCATGCAATACCTCATCATTGTAATTACATCTGCTGATTCACTGCTATAAAATTTATGGCATTTCTTTTGTATATATAATATATTAAATTATAATTATTTTAAACACATTGATCTTATAGGCCAGTTCAGTTTTTATTATTTATTTTAAAAATTTGATTTAAAAAAAAATTGGTTATAGAATCACAGTTAAGATTTTCTGAATGTTATTAACATCTGTTGTCCTCATCCATCCGCAAAATAAATGTTTACTTTTGTGAGAATTCGATAAGTTTAGAGATATTGTTTCAAGCAGTACGCTGTATATCAGTGGTGAGTTGTTTCAAGTAAGAAATGCCAACTTGCCGTTCACTTTTATATACAGGTTGTTTTGTTTTATGACAATAAATATCTCAAGTGATAAAATATGTATGTGTGTGTATGTTGTTATGTCTTGTTTTATACGGTGTTAGAAGTTTCCGTAATTAGAAACTGATATCTACTTAAAATATTCATACTGTATGGAGAAAGAGATATTGATATTACATTAACTACCCACAGAATACATAGTTCATATTGTAACATACTGTCACTATTATGAGTTGTATGTAATTAAAGGCTTTAAGTATCATACAAATAAAAATCTCTCTCGTATGATTTTTGTTGATTTCACTTATTCTTTGCGACCATAAGTTGATACTTATAGGTCAGACACGTTTATCAAGACAATGGTGTGGTCAGTGTTTGATGTCAGTACACGTTTAGCAGGACAATGGTGTGGTCAGTGTTTGATGTCAGTACACGTTTAGCAGGACAATGGTGTGGTCAGTGTTTGATGTCAGTACATGTTTAGCAGGACAATGGTGTGGTCAGTGTTTGATGTCAGTACATGTTTAGAAACACAATGGTGTGGTCAGTGTTTGATGTCAGTACATGTTTAGAAAGACAATGGTGTGGTCAGTGTTTGATGTCAGTACATGTTTAGAAAGACAATGGTGTGGTCAGTGTTTGATGTCAGTACATGTTTAGCAGGACAATGGTGTGGTCAGTGTTTGATGTCAGTACATGTTTAGAAAGACAATGGTGTGGTCAGTGTTGGATGTCAGTACATGTTTAGAAAGACAATGGTGTGGTCAGTGTTTGATGTCAGTACATGTTTAGAAAGACAATGGTGTGGTCAGTGTTTGATGTCAGTACATGTTTAGAAAGACAATGGTGTGGTCAGTGTTTGATGTCAGTACATGTTTAGAAAGACAATGGTGTGGTCAGTGTTTGATGTCAGTACATGTTTAGAAAGACAATGGTGTGGTCAGTGTTTGATGTCAGTACATGTTTAGAAAGACAATGGTGTGGTCAGTGTTGGATGTCAGTACATGTTTAGAAAGACAATGGTGTGGTCAGTGTTTGATGTCAGTACATGTTTAGAAAGACAATGGTGTGGTCAGTGTTTGATGTCAGTACACGTTTAGCAGGACAATGGTGTGGTCAGTGTTTGATGTCAGTACACGTTTAGCAGGACAATGGTGTGGTCAGTGTTTGATGTCAGTACACGTTTAGCAGGACAATGGTGTGGTCAGTGTTTGATGTCAGTACATGTTTAGCAGGACAATGGTGTGGTCAGTGTTTGATGTCAGTACATGTTTAGCAGGACAATGGTGTGGTCAGTGTTTGATGTCAGTACATGTTTAGAAAGACAATGGTGTGGTCAGTGTTGGATGTCAGTACATGTTTAGAAAGACAATGGTGTGGTCAGTGTTTGATGTCAGTACATGTTTAGCAGGACAATGGTGTGGTCAGTGTTTGATGTCAGTACATGTTTAGAAAGACAATGGTGTGGTCAGTGTTTGATTTCAGTACATGTTTAGAAAGACAATGGTGTGGTCAGTGTTTGATGTCAGTACATGTTTAGAAAGACAATGGTGTGGTCAGTGTTTGATGTCAGTACATGTTTAGAAAGACAATGGTGTGGTCAGTGTTGGATGTCAGTACATGTTTAGAAAGACAATGGTGTGGTCAGTGTTTGATGTCAGTACATGTTTAGAAAGACAATGGTGTGGTCAGTGTTTGATGTCAGCACATGTTTAGAAAGACAATGGTGTGGTCAGTGTTGGATGTCAGTACATGTTTAGCAGGACAATGGTGTGGTCAGTGTTTTATGTCAGTACATGTTTAGAAAGACAATGGTGTGGTCAGTGTTTGATGTCAGTACATGTTTAGAAAGACTGGTGTGGTCAGTGTTTGATGTCAGTACATGTTTAGAAAGACAATGGTGTGGTCAGTGTTTGATGTCAGTACATGTTTAGCAGGACAATGGTGTGGTCAGTGTTTGATGTCGGTACAAAGATAGTATCACATGTTGTGAAGAGATAATTTTGTAAGTATCTGTTAAATAAGGGAAAATAACATTCTTGTATCTAAAATCATCTTGGGTCTGTCAGTATGTCCAAAGTCATTTTATCCAAGTATTATGTTGCTTACTATAATTTTTTTTAATTATCACATAACATTTGTTGCACAAGTTGGACTCCTTATTCAAAGGACAATAGTTATCAATTTGAAATGTATAATGAGTAGTCTACCCTATAATGAAAAATATTTTTTTTATATGACAGCTTTGGATAAAGGGAGATTATTAGTAAAATAGCTTGACGTCTAGTATAGGATTATTTCCCTTGTGTTACTACACATGTATGTCAAGGTATAGGGGTCACCCATTTTATATGTCACACGAAATGAAGTTTTAGACCCCTACACCAACCTATCCTCATGTTTCTACTGGACTAACCCCCCACCCCTCACTACTCTTCAGATATAGGTCTACACATATATAATAGCTTTCTCACAACTTCTGATACACAAGATCTTTCACATGTTTTGAATAGGCCCGTAGCGACCCTTCCGGGCGCCCGGGGACAAACTTTCAATTTGGCGCCCTCCTCGGGAGCAAATTTTCAATTTGCACCCCCCCCCCTCAAACTTTCGATTTGCCTCCCCCCCCCCCCCCCTCAAACTATATAATGCAAAAAAATGCAGCTAAAATGACATTTTAATTTGTTTTTACAACCCATTTTGGCGCCCCCTAAGGTCGGCGCCCGGGGACATATGTACCCCCCTGCCCCCCCATCGCTACACCTCTGGGCCCGTGGGTAAATTACACTGGTTCTCATGTAGTGACTTGTTATTATGAACGTCTGTTGAACATTACAAGTGAAATATACAGTGTACTAGCCGTCCCGGCCAGGCCCTGCTCTGGCTTCTGTGAAAAACCTTTCTGTTAAAGACCATTACCTGTGTGTTTAGTAATCATCATAAACCCGGCATTGCCCACCCAAACCACAACCAACCAAAACAACAAAACGCAAACATAACGCTAACACAATTACAAATACAAACGAAAACAAAAACCTAACAACAAACCCAACCACAACCACAAACACCAATACAAACACAAAGAAAAAACAAACAAAAAAGCAAACGAAAACAAAAACCTAACAACAAACCCAACCACAAACCCCAATACCAACACAAAAAAAACAACGAAAAAGCAAACGAAAACAAACCAAATCCAAACGCAAAACCAACCAAAAACACAAATACAAACCCAAACAAAAAAACACAAACAAAAACGAAAAAAGAAAGAACAAAAACGAACCAAATCAAAACGCAACCACTAACGCAAACCCACCTAAACACAAAGAAAACACTAACGCGAACATAAACGCCCGGGGCGGAATCACCTGTTTTAGCTTAATGAACGACTATAGTACCCCAACTTATTCATAGTCTTTTGCACTCACTTAAACGAACGCGCCTGTTTCAATTTAATGAACAATTTTAATACTCCAAGCTTATCCGTAAAATACCTACAACATTTGCACTTGATCAATCCCCGCTGATTATGTAATTTTTTTTCCCAACACCAAAACAAAGTAATTAAAAAGTAAATTATTTTCCACAAAATGCAATGGTTTTATAAAGGGAAGTAATTTTGTTTTCCTAATTTATCAAAGGGAAGTAAGTGCTATAGGACTAAATAAAGACATAATTAGAATTGTTGTAAAAGATGATATTTTTTTAAAACTTGTGTTTAATGAAAATGCCGACAATTATTACTATAATTTGAAAAATGAAAATTATTTCCCAACACTTTCAATAGTAATTTTTTAACTCATAAATTTAGACAAATGCGCACGATAATTGTCTAACACTTAAATCCATCCAAGACCAACGACAAACATACGTATTTTTACATACAGAACTCAGCTTTATATATTAGATTGCAGAAAATAAATCAATTGTTAATTTATGGTGGCACTTTTTAAAATCTATATATTGTTTTCATATCTACCAACAATTAATGCAGTGTTTTAAAAAATTGTGGGACGGAGTGGTCTAGTGGTAGAGTTTCATTCTCGAGATTTGATACCGAATTAGTGACCACAGATACATTAGTGGCTGATTATACGGGAGATATCACAGTTTCCTACACGAATGATCTATTGACTGGTACACAAGTCACGCACCATCTATTGACTAGTACATAAGTCAAGCACCATCTATTGACTGGTACACAAGTCACGCACCATCTATTGACTGGTACACAAGTCAAACACGCACCATCTATTGACTGGTACACAAGTCAAACACACACCATCTATTTACTGGTACACAAGTTACACACCATCTATTGACTGGTACACAAGTCACACACCATCTATTGACTGGTACACAAGTCACGCACCATCTATTTACTAGTACATAAGTCAAGCACCATCTATTGACTGGTACACAAGTCACGCACCATCTATTGACTGGTACACAAGTCACACACCATCTATTGACTGGTACACAAGTCATACACCATCTATTGACTAGTACACAAGTCACACACCATCTATTGACTGGTACACAAGTCACGCACCATCTATTGACTGGTACACAAGTTACACACCATCTATTGACTGGTACACAAATCACGCACCATCTATTGACTAGTACATAAGTCAAGCACCATCTATTGACTGGTACACAAGTCACACACCATCTATTGACTGGTACACAAGTCACACACCATCTATTGACTGGTACACAAGTCACGCACCATCTATTGACTAGTACATAAGTCAAGCACCATCTATTTACTAGTACATAAGTCAAGCACCATCTATTGACTGGTACATAAGTCAAGCACCATCTATTTACTAGTACATAAGTCAAGCACCATCTATTTACTAGTACATAAGTCAAGCACCATCTATTGACTGGTACATAAGTCAAGCACCATCTATTTACTAGTACATAAGTCAAGCACCATCTATTGACTGGTACACAAGTTAAACACACACCATCTATTGACTGGTACACACGTCAAACATGCACCACCTGTTAGCTGTTTGTACTCCCCCCCCCCCCACCCAACAGTGGTTAAATTTCCGAAGCTTACAAAAACAATGACAAACTGAGTATATGTACACATTTTACAAAAATAAATGCAATTTGAGATTTAAATGTTCATACACTGTTTAAATAAAATTAGTCCAATTAATAAAAGTTGAGTAAAACATGAGAACTCTCAGGGGCGTAGCGAGGGGGGGGGGGGGGGCGGGGGGTGCGGACCGCACCGGGTGACACCATTTAGGGGGG